ATAGAGAATTAACTGAAATTCCTTGCAGGGTCCGTTTAGAAGGATCAGTAGCAGCAGCAGCTGTCGCTACAAACACACCCGCTGCAACGATGCTGCACGCTGAAGGCAAGAAGGTTCGAGCCAGAGACTGGAAAGTCATTATTACTGGAAAATCTTCAAAACAGTGAACCCAAGAATCATATCTGGGGAAGAATTGGGCTTAATGGCCTTTCATAAGTGGTCTGGTAAGAGCGGGATTGGGGTCACACACACACACACACACACACACACACAGAAGTCAGCTGCTCATCATTGGCGTGTAAACCTAGCTTGCTGCCCCGCATCCACACGAGCATCACGCCCGTCGTTCCGTGCCTCCGTCAGTAGCAGCAGCCCGCCATCAGAGTGGGAGGGGCTTACACTCTCTAGCCGCCAGGAATGTCGCCCACGATGGCGTTAGCCAAATAGAGCGGTCAGTGAGGACGTTTTTTGCTGGTAATGTAGGAGACATTTTCTCTGGACAAACACAAGTAATTGAACAACATGAGCTGTGCCGGGCCATCGTGCGTTCTTCATGTGTGCGTCTGTCCACACATAATCTTGCACACTGACGGGTCATGTGACTCGCTCGCTCTAACCAGCTGCAAGTGATCAACAGCTGCTTCGGTAGCGAAAAGAGCATTTTCCAGCGACCGGCTGCAGCTAAAAATAATCCTTACCAAGTGCAGGACACATTTCGGCCTCCGTCGTGGTTCAACAATTGGCATCCACACCAATGTTTGGTCTGCTTTTTTCTTTTTTTTTTAGTGGCCCCTGGCGAAGCAGCGACATTCATTCACAAAGTCCCCGGGCGGTGCTGAATGTATTCACTGTGGGAGCAGGGCGGAGCATTTCTAATGCCGAGCACAGTGCCACCTTGTCCCGACCCTGTTAGCGTACGTTTAGGAGTAAGTTAAACAAATCTAAAGGGGAAAAAAGTATCATTTCCTGCCTTTATTAGCTGCTCCAAACTTTCATTTGAGGCGGTACGAATACGCTGGAGGTTATGAATTCAGGGCGTGAGTGGAAAGATCCCGCCAGGCACAGTGGCACTCTGCAGCAGCTGCTGAGGACACACACACGCACACACACACACACCTCTGCAAGCTAACACACACCTACACACGCCTCCAGCTACGTGCGTTACGTAAAGAAACTCGTGTGACAAAACTCAGCTGTCTGTTTCTTTTCTCACATCTTTGAGAATCAGAGCTTGTGTCAGAAGAGGATGTTGTTGGTGTGTGCATGTGTGCGTGTGTGTGTGTGTGTGTGTGTGTCTGTGTGTGTCTGTGGGTTGCATGACAACTTTTGTGCCATGTCTACAATGCTTAATTTCAACCTTCATACGCACACACCCACACACACCCACACACACACACACACACACACACACACACACACACACACACACACACACACACACACACACACACACACGGATAACAGGAATTCCAACACAGTCTGTACCTCTCTGTGCCGGTCTTCAGTTGTGTGTGTGTGTGTGTGTGTGTGTGTGTGTGTGCGTGTGCATAAGCCGGTACAGTAGGTGGTTAATGGCACCTCTAGAATCGGTGCTGATGGAGCGTCGGGGGTCCCGCCCCGCTGCCCTTCTCATTTTGCGGGTGGTCTTCATATCCAGACTAAAGCACCTCCCCTCTCATCCTCTTAATCTGCTCTCCAGCTGCAGTAGAAAAGAATGGAACAGATGTGCGGCTTTCGCCTCATACGACACGTCGTACCGTTTATGCTCCACTGCTGCTTCCCCTGTGCTGATGCCAGTACCACTACCAGTACTACTAGTCAATACGTCAACTGTACTTCATTCTATATTAATATGACCGGAAGATGTTTTTTGTTTCTGTCTAGTTGTGTCCTTTCTTCAAATTGTGTCTTATTTCTTTTCCTTTCATATCAACGCGTTCCCATCTAATCCTTTCCTCTGTATCCTTCCTTTTCTGTCCCTTTCCCTCTTTGCCGTCCTTTTCCCTTCCTTCATCTTTTCTTTGCTCTCCTCTCCCTCATTCTGAACTTGCCACTGACCCGTTGAACTGTGTGGTTTTTGTTTTTGGTGCAGTGCATTGTGCGGGGAGGGAGGAGGGGGGGTCTTGATGTGAGCGCAGTGTGGAATAAAGCAGAGGTGGAAACGACTCGATTGCCTTGTTCCATCGACTCCTTCTTTCTGCCGCCCCTCCTCCACCTGCACCACCCGGCCTCAGGCTGGGCGAGATGGAGAGAATCGAATACACCCCCATGTCGGTGCTTTCACGGAATATTAAGAAATATGATTGGTTTAAATGAAAATTCTCAGTAATGTGTCTAAAGGGGGGAGGGTGTAAGGAAAATAGTGAATTACATCAGTGAACTGGGGGAAGAGTTAAGACAATTATGCCACATCCTCTCTCTCTCTTTCTCTCCCTCTCTCTCTTTCTCTCACATATCTACCAATGAAGCATCACAGTGGGTCCAATCAACATAATAGAACTATCATGGGTCGGATTATGGATTATCTGTTATTCCGAAATAAAAACACATTACACGAGTAGATTTGAAGGCGATTCCATCAAAACCACAACGAATCGCGCAGACGTTATCTCCCACAATGCAATAGTGCGTGCACTAAATAGTACAGGCACCCGGCCACTAAGAGAAGCGGCGCGTCTCCGTGCGGTTGGGACGGCCCAGTTAGCCAACACGAAGACTTCCTCCCTGCTCCTTTGTGAATGTGCACTGGCTCGGATGCAATCATCTGCTCCACTCCTGTGCCAGCCTCGCGCATCCGCGCAGGGGGGAGGGGGAGGGGGAGGGTGAGGGAGGGAGGGGGAGGGAATGCAGAATGCTCTGTGGACGTCAGTAGCTCTGCTTCTCTCTGGGCTTCAAAGGGGGATCAAAAAACAAGAGAGAAGGGAGGGAGGAGAGTCTGGCTTTCTGGGGGCGTCGCAAATGTCGCGCCGGAGTTTCGGATCCCAGGTCGGTGTTGTGGATGTAACACACACACACACACACACACAAACACACACAAACAGGTGTGATAAACCCTCCCTCTCTCCTCTCCTCCCCCGTCATTGCCGCCTCGCTGGCTTCCTCGATCGCCCCCCGCTTGCTTTTTGGTCGTTTCTTGCTGAATAGAACGACCCTCAATCCGCCTCACGTATTAAAAGAAGTGTCCTGTAGACGTAACCCCCCCACCTCCCCCCCTCACCCACCTCACACACAACACGTTAGCTTTTAAGGACCACATGGCTTCATTTGCATTTCACGTCCACTAATGAAATTTCACAGAGCACGTTAAACAGTTTTGTACGGCACGCGGCTCTTCATCGGTGATGAAGGCGGGTCTTTGTAGTTGACTGACAGGAACTGATAGGGAGAGAGAGGGAGGGAGGCGCTGCAAACAGAGCGAAGCGAGGGGAGACCTTTGGTCTTGTGTTTGAACACCTTCAGTTATGGGACGGCCGTCGGCGGTGAGGACGCTCGCTGAAGAGAGAGCGCTCATTGGGGGGATAATGGCAGCTCAAATAAACAGCTCAGGGACATTTGAAACCACAGCGATGCAGCAAAGACAATGATGGTCATTCAGCTTAGGTGGGTTACACCCTCTGTGTTACCCTCAAAAAGAATACCGAACTTCTACACACCGGCAGTCTCAAACACCAAAACAAATACATAAACGAAACAGCAACAACAATACGACATGCACATGAATCAAGTGGGAGCCGTGCCTTCACAATTGTACGTGTATCTGTTTTCCACCACATCGAGTCCTCGGGTTTGTCATTCTACACGTGCTACTTCACTGGTGTCCACTAGGGGCGCTGCTGCTGCACGATGGAGCACAGAAGCACGCTTTCTCTCTCTTTACCAACCTGCCCGCCCACCCACCCGCCTACACACAGGCCTTCAAGCTCAACACAATATAGTCCACCTATGTGGATGCCGTTGAGAAGATGTGCATGTGTGTGTATGATTTCATGACCAATATGAACCGACCGCACTAATTTATGTGTCTTTGACATACAAAGAGAAGAAAAAGGAGAAGAGATTATGCGTGAAGTTATAGGTCCTTCACAGGTGTGCCAGGGGTCTCATTAGCCAGGACCATCCAAAACATCATCCAACACATTTCAGTGAGAGGAAGCCGGGCCTTTAAAGGTCAAAGAGCAGCGTTGTCAGCGTTCTTCTTTTCGCTTTCACTGCACGCAACAAAACCACGATTCTGGGCCATCAGACGTCCTCCTCGACCCCCGGACAGCTCATTCAAATCGCTTCATTCAAACGAGTCCCGCCTGCTCCGCCGCTGTGGAGCCGGACCCCCTGGAACCGCCGACAGAACCGCTATCGCGCTCGCATCACCTGCTCTACCTTCATCTTCATGTCAACATGGCCGCCTAGCTCATGACCAACCAGCGAGTGGGGGGGGGGGCGTCGGGGTGGCAGCCCCCACCCCCTCACTCTGCTGCCCACTCTGAAGCACAGCAGAGTGGAGCACTGATGGACGATTGCCGCACGCAAACACGCGCAGGCGATGGTGTAATCTGTGCCCCCGCCATTGCACGTGACGTTGAACCCTGCCGAAAGCGAGGCCACTGGCATCGGTTCTCACTGGAGAGAACCGTTACACCCCCCGCCCCCAAAAAAAAACCCCACCAGGCTCTGGATCCCTCCCACTCTCTTCTCTGCTGCAGTGCTCGGACAGGGGTCTCTATGGGCTGTCAGCCCCCAATCACACCACTAATCCTCCCTGATACACACCGTCGCATACGACCCCTCCTCTCTACTTCTCACTCTATCACACACACACACACACACACACACACACACACACACACACACACACACACACAGTTACACACTTCATCATCATATTAGGCCTAATACTGCAAGCTAAGAGGCAACGGATATGTAAGAAGCATGTTACTACCTGTGAACCATCTGGGGCAGGTTTTTATATATTTCTTTCCTATGAGGAGGATTCCATGTCTTACTTGCTTTCCCGGGCCGAGGCCTCTGCAGCAGCTTCTGCACGGTGAGCAGGTCCTCGGTCTTCACCGCCTGCAGCAGTTCCTGGTCCTTCCCCATCTTCCGCTCGGAGGCCGCTCTCTACTCCCGCAGCATCCTCCGAAACACTGCCTCCGCACGCTGCCGGACAGCCTCCCTCCTCCTCCCCCCTCTCCCCCTCTCCCCCCCTGGTCCCTGACTTCAGACGAGATCCCGCTAGAGCTCCGGCATGCGCCGGGGGCGAGAGAGCGAGGGGAGGAAAGACTGGGCGGGAATGGAGGGATGCTCTCGGGTTCTCCCGCCCCTGGCAAGTGCACCGCCGCCGGTTTGGCGACTGGACCGGGGGGGGCTACCGGGGGGCTACCGGGGGCTACCGGGCCGCTCGAGATCCCCGTATCAGCGCGCAGGCGTCGCGTGCGTCGAATTTAAAGGGTACGGATGAGAGGCTCCCCGGTTCCACGGTCCGCTCGCGCTCCTCGTCCGCTAAACGGTCTTCCTTGCATCTGCGCCATCCCCCCGCTCCCCCCCCCGGAAAAACACAACGAAGAAGCCGAACGTAAAAAGAAGCGGACAGATGTGAGCGGGCTCGCGAGCAGATGATAGCGGATCGTGCGCGTGCGTTTAGGACACGGGTGCGCGCGGCGTCCGTCTTCCGAGGTGACGCCGCTCACGTGCGCTCTGCGTCGTAAACACAGTCCACGGCCGCTGCCATCCCTCCGCGTGCACTCGGGCTCTGTATTTGGTTTTCTCCGCGTGGGGCGGGGGACGGGCGGGAGGGGGGTGAGAGAGGGGAGGAGGGGGGCTCGTACGCGCACCCGCGCGCTCTACAGCTGGCTCGGCTCGCACCGCTAAAAGGCTCATGCTGCAACTTGGGGGCGGACCAGGAGCGCGGGGCTGTCCCGCCTCCTTTCCTCATCTCCTTGTTATTGTTCCTGTGGCCCTTTTTCTCGCCTCCTTTCCTCATCTCCTTATTATTGTTCCTATGGCCCTTTCTCTCGCCTCCTTTCCTCATGTCCTTGTTATTGTTCCTATGGCCCTTTCTCTCACCTCCTTTCCTCATCTCCTTGTTATTGTTCCTATGGCCCATTATTTTGCCTCCTTTCCTCATCTCCTTGTTTTTGTTCCTATGGCCCTTTCTCTCGCCTCCTTTCCTCATCTCCTTGTTATTGTTCCTATGGCCCATTATTTCGCCTCCTTTCCTCATCTCCTTGTTATTGTTCCTATTACCCTTTCTCTCGCCTCCTTTCCTCATCTCCTTGTTATTGTTCCTATGGCCCTTTCTCTCGCCTCCTTTCCTCATCTCCTTGTTATTGTTCCTATGGCCCATTATTTCGCCTCCTTTTCTCTCGCCTCCCTTTTCTGTCCCCCCCCAATATACAGCCTAAAATATGTAAAATATATGTTCTCCTTTTATGAACCCTCTCAATGGATCGGTGTATTGTTATATCTTATTTATTTTCAATTTACTTCCTTTGTTAAGAAAAACACAAGAGTGTGAATCCTAATTGTACACTTGTGTGATTTAGTTTGAAACCAACTCGCGTCGTTCTGCGTTGTCATGGTTACCTATCACTTTTTTGTCAGTCAGTTGAGAGCAAAGAAAGTAACGTTAGTTAACTTGTTGGAGAGGAGGTAGAGTAATGATAGTAACCGAAAGTAACTTGATACCGAAATAAATGTGTAAGCAAATAGTAGCCTCGTAAAAGCAGAATATTAAATGATAGATCATGAAGGTCAGTCGTTCTGATAAAATGACATGTGGTTACAGAGACAAGGAGAGGGACAGACACGCCGAACTCACCTAAACAAAGTGGACGAGCAGTCACCGCCCCTGAGAAACTACACTATTCCTTTAGATGTGAATACAGATGGTCAATGTAGTCCTCAAAACTATGTTCTAAATTTGCGAATTTTCATTTACAAATATAGAATTGTAGGCAATGCACTAAACAAAAAAAATGATGAGGAAGGGTATTCATTTGGACCCCCCAATGTCTACACCGTGGTTACGCCCTTGAATACCCACGTCAATCATGCTAGCATTTGATAATTAGCAATTAATACACAAAGTGAGATTCGTGGGAATGTCATTGGCTGTGCAGGTTTTTGAATAAAAAGGTTTCGAAGAACTGAAATTTGCATGTCTGAGTGGTTATAAGTGCTATGCTTTGTTTACAGCTATAAAATGAATGCTAACGTCATATTATAGACTGTTAAGACGTGGACGGAGTCATCGTGTTGTCACCCATTGATTTGTGGACTGCTGTTTTCAAGCCTTGAGTTCAGAGTTTTGGCCTTTGCCATCTTATACGGGCCGTTGCCGTCTTTGTTTTTTGCAACCAATGGACAGAAGTTACAATATTGGGAATAGAGGAGACCGACGTTAGATGCGGCTTTGGTAGACCTGTCAATCACAGCATCGCGGTCCTGAAGCATGCTTTGCTTCCTTGTCTTTTCAGCGGTCCCCCACCACCGGGCAACGGACCTCCTGGAAGAGACTGAGCCTCGGCCTTCATGTCTCAAACTTGGAAGAAAAGAACGTCAGCCAACAAAGAGGTGCTCAACAAATGACACAAAGCCGATATTGTTTGGCAGCCTGATTGGTGGATGTCTTACATGAGCCTACATCAAGCTACTTTTAAACTTTTGTGCTGAAAAAGGATTCCGTCGTAGTCCTAAAATAAAATGGTAGTCTTTACACATTTGAATGTCTTTCGGTGATTAGTTCTGTTGCTTGTCACCTGTCGTAATTATGTAATTATTGTATTTAAAGTGACACTTCAACATCTGCTACCAATCTGCTCAACCTGAGCGAATGAAAGAATTTAAGATTAGATTTCTACATAACATATCAGATTATATTTCATATTTAATGTCTTTTTTATTTTTACAATCGAGTCCCTCTACAAACGTGTATAGTTTGCATATCCCAGACAAGTAGAGAAGGAAGAGCACAAAACAGTGTTTTTGACCTCAACTTTTATCCAGCCGGTCTTCTTTCTCTGTAAAACCACTGCTCTCCTCTCCATTGTGTTTGCATGTTTGTGTGCGTGTGTTTGTGCATGTACGTGTGGGCAGCGAGCAGTGCTTGCATGCCGCTCTCTGCCTCCTCCACATATCCAGTGCCTTATGTAAGAATACTGAGGAGTAGCTCATAAGGTGGTGAGAGCGTATTTATAAATATGTCCCTCTGTTAAAGCAAAAGAAGTTCACTCGCCTGTAAAAATCTCAACCAAAATTGTACTTTCTGAGGGTTCGAGAGAAAAAGGTGCACGCCATGTTCACGTGCACACATACAACATTTCCACCTGATCAAACAAACAGGCAACAAGGCTGAGATCTTTTGAGATAAAGCCAACCTGCAACGCTTTAAATGACGAGTGCAAATGCACAACTATGAAAATGCTTTAATAGACACATTGTATGTAACATTGTCATACTTCATTAAGATTGATCAATAACACCACTTTCCGTTTCCCATCAAAAGCAACTCTTTCTGGAGTGATTGGTCCTGATTGCATGTTGGTATGTATTGATAAGGAGTTTTAATAATTAGTGTGTGCAGTGAAAGGAAATAGTAGTAACAATACACCTGAAACCACGTTCATTTCAAACTTGAGAGTCCCTCTTTCTAACAAGAGTTGAGATGATGATGCAGCTTGAGGCATCCAGAGCTACACACTGCCACCAAGTGGCTTGTTCGGTCCGTGTACGTTTTGATAGTCACTTTTACCGTAAAAAAACAGAAAACGAAAACACTCGTTTTTCGTTTACATTGCTCCACCCACAAGACTCAACCAAATGATTAATCATGCCGCAAAAATGATCAAAAGTTTTACAGTAAAGATGAATCGGAAATTCATCAGAGAACCACTTTCAGAGACAGGCTGGTGTCTGACCTGAGTGGGACAGATGACGAGTCTCCAGGAACCTCAGACGCTGCTGAGAACCACAAGAATGTCCCATCAGGCGGCCAGACTGATGCCACATAAATAAGAATTGAATGTTTAACAATAATTTTCTCTTGGAAATAAAATGTCTCTGTGCAATCGAGAAGCTGCCCTAAAATCTGGCTTTGAGGTGGAACTAACATGGACACAATCAGTGATAACTTAAGGCAAATCTGACGGCAATAAAACTGAAGTAATTGTAATTGTGACACAGACCAACATTAGATATTCTCATCCTTTGACCTACGGGTCACATTCAGTATTGAAGTGTGACAAATAATGATGATATTTAAAGAAACCAAAAGTCCAGCATTAAATACATCTGTAATAACCTTCATAAATAACGCAAACACAATTAAATATAAGTAAATCTATGGTTTAAATACATGTTCGCACGTTTACTCTGCGTCTCCTTGAACTGTCTCTGCGCTGCCTTCACTGACACAATGCGAGGTAGATAAATATCTGATCCAAGAGCAACGAGTGTGCGTGTTGTCAACTACTGGTGCTAACACATCCCGTCGGACCAGGACTATTTATTTATATCCATTGATTAACTTTTAACCGCTGGCATCGCAGACGGATTTCTAGCATACACAGGTTCCATTGCGTTGACTCTTACTGTGAAAATCGACGTACTTCCGGTTTAGCGGCTCCGGTTCGTATTTTCGTTTTATGGGCAAAACCGCAAAAGGGATTAACGGATAAAAAGTTGTTAGTTTGTGTCGTTTTTTGGTTCTGAACGAAAAACGAGAAAACGACTGTCCACTTCCGTTTTACCGTTTTGGATTTAAAACGAAAAACGAGTGTTTTCGTTTTCTCGTTTTTACGGTAAAAGGGACTATCAAAACGTACACGGACCACGGTCCATCATGTATTTACGGGTTTCTACAGAGCACGTAAATGCACCACAGAGTCGCCCCTTCTCCGCGTCCCCGTCTCTGATTGGCCGAGCCGCCCATCCATCACGGGGTCGCACGCAGTCGGACTGAGGGGTTGAAAAGGGCAGGAGCCTCGTATATTCAAATACTATCGGTTGCAGATTGTAACCCGACATAACACGCAAACTGGTGAGTATTACCGCGTTTTGTTTTTGTAAATAGTCGTTATTCGATTTTTGTAATATGACCGCCTTGCTTTCTGATGCATGACAAATCAATGCGCGCATTCAAGAGCTTTGCACGGCAAGATTATTCCCCGCGAGCTATCGCGTTAGTACTTGCGTGTTACCGTTAGCTAACGTTATCTCGTGGTGTTACAACCCAACGTGGGACATTAGCTGACGTTACTTTATCCCCAAAAGTAGTCTGCTCGGATACAACGCTGACGCGGTGGTTGCGGAACGGCCCTTAGCAACGGTAACGGGTCAAACCCGAGGTTATTCAGCTAGCTTAGCAACACGAGGAAGCTAATGTGGCGACTGTTGATAGTAGGAAGGAACGATGCGTTCCTCCTGTTCAGATCACGAGTGAGCCCATTAAATGCCATTGACCCCTGAATGACACCTCACACTTCTACGAGACATGTTTAATACAGTATAGTAAGGCTAATTTATTGATTCCCCGTCCAGTTATCGCCTATATATTGTGGTTGCACATTGCTGCATGACATCTGCCTTTTGTTTGTTCCACTAACCCTCTTATTATTAAGTGTACAGCACTAAAACCTGTTGCCCTTCTAAAGTAGCCTGTATATTAACATCTTAAGTAATGAATAAGACGTTTTTAAAATGGAGTGCTCTAAAAAGTTTGTGAACGCTTTTAAAATGAAGAGACTAGATTTAGAACTCCAGTTAGAGCCGCTTGAAGCAATTCCAACGAGAGAAGCTACCTCAGAAGGTTAAGTTCTTCTGCTGTAGCGGAGAGAGTCGCCAAATGTAGCGGCAACGTGCACAGTGACCGCTCGCTCCCGGCTCCACGCAGACCGCGGGGACGCGCAATGAGCGCACCGGCAGCGTGCGTGCAGGTAGGAGGGAAGGTAGGAAGGTGGATAGGATGGATGGACTGCCTCAATAGTCGTGGGAGAACAATCCTTAATAAATTATTTTTTTTGTCTGATATTGAATCAATGTAATAAACTAATAACGCATTTTGAAAGACTATTGAGTGACTGTAGAGTATTTTATCTGGTCCTCTACAGGATTAGGACGAGGCACGCGCTCTGTTAGGGAGGGAAATGTTGAACTCCATAACTCTTGATTTTGAAAAGCTTCTTCAAAGATTGGGATGTTATCCCGCTCTGTTTCATTCAAAACGAGAAGATACAGCTGCAGCAATGTTTGTGGAGACGATGCTGTGACTCCATCCAGGTGGAGGATGCCGCCTGGCCGTGAACCGGAAGTTCATGAAGAAAGTCCCATTAATCACATTCTGATGTATTTTACGTGAACAAGAACGTTGTGCCTCAGTTTGTGTTTGTTTGTAACTCCAACACAGCCAAAGATCCCAAGATGAGGTGTGAGAATACGGAGGTATTTAAGTAGTAATTATGCTTTCATCTGGAAAAAAACCCTGCTTTTATGTATAAGAAAGTGCTTCGGGGACTAACTAAAGGTCCCGTTCCTCGGCTGCAGGACGAGCTCAGCGCAGCGTGGGTGCCCAGGGATCCACTGCCTGAGTGCGGGGAGATCAGCATCCAAGACCCCGTCGACATGAACCACACCAAGGGCGGCCTGGTCATCTTCACCGCCAACTCGCACCCCTCCAGCCGCGAGATGGGCAAGAGGATCTCCGAGTGAGTCAGAGGGAATTTCATTGTTTCTGCTACAAGTAATCTACCAAAGCGACGCTATTTCCACCGTCAGCATCTGTCAGCAGTTTGATTTAATTTAGCAAATTCCCACCATGCTATTAGTAGTTTTTATTTAAATTCTATTTGGGATTTTATCGAATCAATAGTAGAAGTTAAAGTCGTGTGTGTGTGTGTGTGTGTGTGTGTGTGTGTGTGTGTGTGTGTGTGTGTGTGTGGCAAATTATTACTAATTGCACATTTTTAAGACACATAAAGTCAAAAGGGAAAAATGGCAAACTAATGGCAACACATATTTACGAAATAAGGCCGTTAAATAACAATAACAATGCCATAAGAAAGTACTTAGATATTAAATACTATATAGTACTCCAACCAGACATGAAACTAGCTAATTTACTAATGGAGTTCAGGGGTCAAGTAACTCTACATGAGCAGTTCCAGAAGAACCTCAAGCGGTTTTAATTAGCAAATGCCGAAGAGCGATTGAGTCCTCGAGCCAAGAATGACCCAAACCCCGAGTACAGCAGCGCTTTCTCTCCTTCTGCTCAACGTGAAACGACACCCAGCGTCTCGTAGCGAGTTGCAACAGCGGCTGTGTTTCATGGCGTTTATGTGTAACCGGAACATTCCCCAACAGTCGGGGACACTGACGGGGACACTGACATTCCGTGTGAGCAGCTAACCGGCTGTAGCAGCAAACGTGTGTTTTCCATCGTAGATAATCGACGCCTGCTTTCTCCCAGCATTCCTTCGCTCTGCACAATGTAAACATACAAGCGTCCTCTTGACTCCTCCTCCTCTTTACTTCAGGCGGTTGGGGGTGGAGCTTGGCAAGGTGCAGGTGTACCAGGAGTCTAACAGAGGTGATTATTATTACTATTGTTCTCATTCTAATAAGAGAGCCTGTTATTGTGTCAGATGTTATCTGTCAAAAGAGAGATTAAGAGACTTTCGCTTTCTTTTTTCTTCTTTACAAACCGAACGTAAGCTTTTATTTTTATTAGGATTGTTTCCTAATCTCGTTCCCTGGGAGGCACATTTCTGGAATGCTTGTATTTACAGCCCGGGGCGCATGGGAGGCACCGGGGGGGGCTCTCATGTGAGGTGGGTTTCGCTCTTGCTGCTCCCGCCGTTCTCACGCTCCTTGTCTTTTGTTGTTTCCATAGAAACGCGGGTGCAGGTCCAAGAGTCGGTGCGAGGCAAAGATGTCTTCGTGATCCAAACGGTGTCCAAGTAAGGGAGGACCTCTGAAACGTGTCCCTGACACTACCATGTCCCCCACCCTGACCCCCCCCGCCCCTTCTCTCCCCTCCGCTCTCAGGGACGTGAACACCACCATCATGGAGATGCTGATCCTGGTGTACGCCTGCAGGACGTCCTGCGCCAGGAGCATCACAGGCGTCCTCCCCTACTTCCCCTACAGCAAGCAGTGCAAGATGAGGAAGAGGGGCTCCATCGTCTCCAAACTCATCGCCTCCATGATGTGTAAAGCTGGTAGGTGGGGGTGAGGGGGTGGGGAAGAGAAACCAGGGTGAAGTAGAACTTGCTCACGAGGCTGCTGACCTGCGTCCATCTTTTCTAAACGTGGTTGTTAAACACACCTGCAAGCATGACGCTTCGTGGCAATCTTCGCTATTTTGAACTCCGAACACCGTAGGTGGTTAAAATTTTAGCATTGACGGCGCGGAGCTGACTGTGTTGTGTAGGTCTCACCCACCTGATCACCATGGACCTCCATCAGAAAGAGATCCAAGGCTTCTTCAACATCCCAGTGGACAATCTGAGAGCGTCCCCCTTCCTGCTGCAGTACATACAGGAAGAGGTAACGCAAACTCTGCTCTGCGGTCTGTTTACAGTTTGTAGTTTACTAAATGGAACTCGTGCTGTTTTGAAAAGGACTTGAAACTAAAGATCGAGAAAATTAACTCATGTTTCTGAGGAAATGAAGCAAGTTGGAATCTGTCATTTTCTCAGAGACTTCTAACAAACTAAACCGCCGCGGATGGACATTAGCGAGGATGCTAATTGAAGTCACTTTTGCATTGGCTTTATTTTTCATAACCACAGGTTTGAAAGGCTTTTTTTAACCCTGCATCGGTCAAGAGGACAATAATGACTACAGCTGAAATAAATCCTGTGGTTAACCCAAGCGTTTAGTTATTGACATATAGTGAGTCAGTAAATACCTCGTGTGAAATTTGATGCCTTGATCTGACCTTTTCAAAAAGGTGGTAGCAAAGACGCTAACTTCCTGTTGTGCCTGCAAATCCTCATCCCCCTGAACAATGGTGGGAGATTGGCCATCACATGGTTTTAACCAAAGGTCCTGGCTTTTAGACGAGCCGGCTTCTCCTCTGGCATGTGATCATAGTGGTAAAACATCATTTATCTTCTTTCCCGTGCAAGTAATAAACAAAGACCACTTTGTTTCGGAGACAGCATTCTTTATTCCCGATTGTCTGGTCAAATCTTCCATCACAATCGGCATCCTCACCAGTGGGGAAGACGTATGCAGAGAGACACCGTCCATCGTATTCTAATCTGACATTAAACGTCGTATTGTCCTTTCCCTCCAGATCCCCGACTATAGAAATGCTGTGATCGTGGCCAAATCCCCAGCCTCTGCCAAAAGGTACAGTCAACACCCCCCCCCCTCACTCGCTGGTTATAAACTCCCATTACGGCTTTGAATCATTTCATTATTGAGTTATTCATGAACCATCCCGGAGGAAGTTATGTTCCTTTGCGCTTGATTTTTGATACAACCATGGACGCAAAGCTGCAAGTTTACACATTTGTGGCGGGACGCTGTGCTTTGTATCTACGCATGTGTCTCGTTTTCTGTTGCCGTGGTTTCTGAACTGTCCTCCCCGGTGTGGCCGCATCAGGGCTCAGTCGTTTGCCGAGCGGCTGCGTCTGGGCCTCGCGGTGATCCACGGCGAGGCCCAGGACGCCGAGTCGGACCAGGTGGACGGGCGTCACTCGCCGCCCACCGTCAAGACCACCGGAGCCATTCACCCCAGCATGGAGATCCCACGTAACGCACGCCGCCGCCACCACAAATCCTGTAACCGCCGTGTGACGGAACAGGCTTTTGATTCTCTTTTTTTGGGGGGGTGGGGCTTCATTTCCAGTGTTGATCCCCAAAGAGAAGCCGCCCATCACCGTGGTAGGAGACGTCGGAGGACGCATCGCCATCATAGTGGTGAGGCCACCCGCTTTTGCTTTGGATACGAGACTCTCCGGAAGGAGACGCAGTGAACTCTGGGAAAGAGGAGCTGAGGGCACAAATCTTTACACTATTTGTTATTGCATTACACACGGCTGGACCAAACGATAGAGATTAAGTTATTCATTAAGTTTGTTTTTTCATTATTGATGTAGAGCAGCAGTTCCCAAACTCAGGAATGCCGCGGCCCAATTTGAAATATGAAAATCCTTCGCGGCCCACCCGAACCTTTAATCACAACTCTGATCAAAACATAATAATTAAATGACCTTTTAGAATTTAACCAAAATCAAACATCCGCGAGTAAAAGTCCGTCTCGCGAGGTATTTGCTCGCTTGCGAAACGTGAACCGCCCCCCCTCGCCATCCACGCCTTAAATCTTCGGCTGCTTTTAGAATAACTTATTTTCCCCGTTAAGACGGTTCAGCTACTGTAGAGAAAAGGGCGCCGTCTCTCGCTCTTTAATCTCATGAAGTGCTCGGCAAGAACGACAGCTTTGTTTCTCCGACGCGCCCTGAAACAAGCTCATATCTCACGCGCTTGAGCTCCGCTCAGCATCTCGCCGTCGTAGACCGAGCTTTGGCATGTTTGGCAGAGCGCCTTGAGCGCCGTGTACAACCAGTATGGATTAACCAATTGATCCATATATATAAGGCGCTCCGGATTATAAGGCACTGTCGTTTTTTGAGGAAGTTAAAGCCTTTTAAGTGTGCCTTGGAGTGCGGAAAATGCGGTATATTTACTTAAATACTACAAGACGGCGCCCCGTTGTTGAACGACAGGCGGACAAGAGCAGCCGTTTTGAGCGAGAGCCTTATTGTTTTATTAATCTGTTCGTTTAAATTGTTTGTGCTTCATCAATTAATGTTGCACATAACTAATGTGCCGCATCATAAATAATTTTATATTAATTTCAAACTTTTAAAAATTGAAACTTAAACTTTATTTATTTATTGTAAATGACCTCTCGCGGCCCACCAGGGAGCCGGGGCCCACACTTTGGGAATCGCTGATGTAGAACATGAGATCCAATTAAAGTTCTCCTTCAGCTCTATTCAATGCATTTAGGCGTTAGCACTTAAAATATTCAGGGGTTGCCGTTCTACTCTGGCCTGCAGTCGCATCATTCAGGATTTCCCTTTTTCTTTTCCTAAAGCCTGTTCCTGCAGGGATAAAGGCACTGCAGTGAAAACATCTGGATTGCCCTCATGGCCGGCTGGTTGATTTAATATTCACCAGTTTCTTTCTTACAATCAAAGCATTAAGCGTTTGTCTCTCTGTTCATTTAATTGATGGCTATTAAGGCTCAGAGGCTTGTTCAGTTCGTATCAACGACATTAAAAACAGTCTGAGGATGTTTTTAGAGTTTTTCACTGAAGGGCGTGTTTGAGACGGGTCCGTTTGTCCCACAGGACGACATCATCGACGACGTTGACAGTTTTGTGGCGGCAGCGGAGACGCTGAAGGAACGGGGCGCCTACAAGATCTTCGTCATGGCAACGCACGGCATCCTCTCCTTGGATGCCCCCAGGTTCATAGAAGAGTCGGCCATCGACGAGGTAAGCGTGAACTCTGACCCTCGTACTGCTCGATTCCCCCGCCCACCCCCTTCAATTAACATATCTGCCTTCATCCTCATCATCGTCGCCTTCCTCCAGGTGGTGGTGACCAACACGATTCCTCACGAGCTCCAGAAGCTCCAGTGTCCGAAGATCAAGACGGTGGACATCAGCATGATCCTGTCGGAGGCCATCCGCCGCATCCACAACGGAGAGTCCATGTCCTACCTGTTCCGCAACATCGGCATGGACGACTGAGCGCAACGCACGCACACACACACACACACACACACAGACACACACTCTCAAACACTATTTGCCTTATGTTTCTTTTCCAAACATAGAGGTGAATGTCTAACACTGAAATCGCTACACACGCATAATGAAAATATATCCATGTCCTGCTCATATGATGAACATAAACACAAAGCCCGAGTGCAGCTTAAAGGGTTACTTTAGATTTTATTGGAGAGTTTTTTTGTGAGGTTGCACGTGGCACTCCAACAGACGTGAGTAGGAAAGCGATGCACTGCTGTGAGGGGGGCAGTAAAGTGGATGCTACGATCCTAAAATGTATATGCTTGAATACAAAACGTTTACGCTCTATTCAGATCACATTTACCGCCAAATTAATTTCTGACCAAACTGAAGCCGCTAACTACGCGGTCTTCAAAGCCACGGCCATGCTTATGGTGAACAGAGCGTAGATGCTGAAGGAGTCAAGAGGTGAGACTATTGTACACCCCGACTGACTGATTCTTGCCCCCGGCCACAGCAGAGCATTGCTTTAATTCTGTACTGGGACCACGGTGTGTCTCTCCAAACCGACCGACACACCTCATATAATCTTACTTAAAAAAAAAATCAGAACCCTCCATCAACATATTAGATGACTGAAAGCAGACACACAGACCTTTGACCTCACAGGACGGCTGCCTGTCTCCCTCTGCTCATGACAAACTAAACACACACCTCAGTCTCTTCTTTTTACTGTCCTCTTCTTTAAAATGTTCTCTCCTCACAAATTAATGTCCATCATAATGTAACATTTGTTAGCATTGAAGCCCCCCCCTGCTCCCTGGCAGTAAATTGTCTTTCTTACTAACTGCATTAGAAACAGTGCCTTCTACCTGACACGCTCCAAACACACAGGCCTTCACTTCTCAGACATACAAACCTGTTTTTATTGTATTGATCCAGGAAGGTGCAGTTTCCCAGCTAATTAACCTGCGCAGGTAATCAGAGGACACGATTAACCCCCTTCCTGTTCATCCATGTGGTCCAGAATGTGGTACTGATGTAGTTAAGTAGACTGCTTCTAGCTGGCCGTGGTTGCCATAGCAGATGCTAATGCTGCTAATCTGGTGTCAAATCTACTCATTGCTAAAATTGAACTGGAATATCCACAGGAAATTATAACTGGTCAATTAGGCATTCCAGACATTGTATTTTTTTCTTTTTTTTACGGCGTTCCATGAGTCATCCGTATAACATTGTGCCATGATTTTATATTTGTTCATGTCACAAATTGCCCCTCCAGCCCGACGGATCTGGGCAGTTTTACACTCCGGTTAAGAGCTGAAGGTACTTCTTAATTATGAGTTAAGATTATACCGGAGGAGACTGAAATTTGCTCAAACACACCCGCAGTTAAACTTTGGAGAGTAGAGAAATCATTTTTTTCTTCTGACGAGCAGAACTTGACTGAAGCAGGTCTTTGTCACTTTACGAGAAATGTTTTGTATTTATTTTCAACAATTATGAATAAATAATGACCAATGAAAGTAGTGACTTTTTTCTAGATTTATAAATCTGGTGTGTGCTTTCTCGGTAAAACACGCTTTTGATTTGGCAGGTGCCCCATTAGCATGTTAGCATGCTAACGGGAGGTTTAACTTACCATTGAAAATAAATGAATTGTTAAATGTCAAACTAGTGTTTAGCAACTTCAACAAAAAACGGTTGGTGGTTTAAAGCAGGGGTGTCAAACATACGGCCGGATGACCTTGTAAGTAAATTTGATTTCTATTAAAGTAGCTGCTATTCCTAAGAAGTCCCGCGGGGGGGTCGCACTCTGCGAGTGGGCGCATGCGTCAGACCAGGGGCCTCATTTATAAAACCTTGCGTAGGATTTGCGCCAGAAGTGGCGTACGGATGAAACGTAGGACGTGCGTACGCACAGAAATATTCAGTTATAAAACCGTGCGCACGCACGTCCCTACGCAGTTTTCCCTTAATAAATCACAATCACTTCTAAATGCAGCGCGGCTTCATGTCACGCCCATAGCTGCCCATATATGGTCTGTGGAACGCCCACAAATGAATATTCATCGATTGCGAAATCATGACAAACACTGAGAGGAAAACGAAGAAATGTAACTTCACTCAGTGTGAAGCGGAAATGATCATTGGCGAGGTGGAAAGGAGAAGTGAAAGCTTTATGGAGGGCACAGTGTCAGTGTGGGCATCACTAATGACAAAAAGGCACCACAGCAACGCTGCAGCCTCACAACCTCGGACCGGCCGAAATAAAGAAAAAATGGTCTGACGTCAAAGTGGATGCAAAAAAGCGTTTATCGCGCCATCGCCAAAGTGTGTCTGCCCCGGGTGGGAAAGGGGACACCAGACCTGTCCCCTCCTGATGGGAGACAGGCGGCAATGATTGGGGATCGGGGGTCTGGGCCAACATCGGCGTCAGGGGGTCGAGGCACGTTTGGAAGCTGTGCCACATTATGTAGCACAGCACACGACACACTCACCTTATCAGGAGTAAACAACAACCTCCCTCCAGTGCAGTCGAGGCAGCGCCATCCGCCCTTAAACAGGCCGATGGGGCGCTGCACTACAGCGCCAATCCTTCCATGTGCCACGTCTTCTAAGAGCGCAAGATCAGCCATTACGCGTCATTACGCATTGTGACGGCATCATGGCATTTTATTACCGTCCATTTGATTGCATCTGACAAGCAACAGCTGTGTTTTGAGGATGAATTGCGTAACATGTCAATATTATCGCAGAACATATTTCACTTTTCTTTTTGAAAATGTGTTAATTTGTATTTAGCGGCCCTCCAGGCAGCAGCGCCCGCAGCCCCCGTCGACCATCGCCGATGATTTGACTGGTCCGGCCCGCGTCAAAGTGGACAGTATGCAGTAGACAGTACACTTATGCACTTGTAACACATTTCTGAATATTAAAATCTATTTCTGCCAAAGGAAATCCCTTTATATATTATGCGCTGGCCCTTTATATATCCTACGCTGCTTATATGTCCCCACCTCTTCGAGTGGGCCCTTGAACGCAGGACCTTCACTTGTAATGGAAGTTGTTTTACATGAATGTAAAGTCAGATTCACTGGAAGTATTCAGATGTAAAGTAAGAGAGCAGCTCGTAGCTGATTTAAAACAACTTGTTTCTTGTTCAACATATCTCATGTTTATTTATTAATGCTGACAGACAGGTATTGTTTGGGAACACATGGCGGCATCAACTACAGAACAGAACCAGGCAGAAAAAGAAATCTGTTATTGGACCTGAGACGCACCCGTGAGGTCGAGTCCCACGCCTTCAGATTAACCCGCTCACGCCGCCCCCGCTCATTGTCGAACAAACCTCCCGCCAATGTCGTCAATGTATTTGAAATCAAGCCAAGAAGTTCGGGGGTTGGAGTACAACAGAACTAAGCAGATGGAAAATTCACACAAAAAACTATTTGAATAACCGCTTGTAGTGCTTTTGTTTCGTCATTTTTAACCCCCCCGCCCACAGTTTCTCAAAATCACGTCAGCACGAGCTGATACTACTAACGGTTGAAGTGTTTAAAGACTGGTTGCCAATGGTTACGGGACAGAATGTGCCAGTTGTCGGGGTCAAACTTGTGCAAGTGCAAGAAAGTACAACGGTCCGTTTGCGTCTGGCGTTACTCGCCGACATGCGCTGAGGTCTGACAAGTGTCGAGCTTTGGTGACCTGGGTGGGCGTGCGCCCCCCCCACCCTCAACTATTATCCTTAACCCTTAAGCAAGGCACTAAACCCTCTCACCTCCGCGCAGAGGAGCTCGGGAGGCCACCGGTCGGGAAGCGTATGAAGTGGAAAGAAAGGCGTCAATCTGGATCAATGTTTAAATGGTGTGGTGCTACAATCTGTCTGTCCAACATGGCGGGTTGTCCTTATCGTGCTCACTGGCAAACGCTTTTTAAACACTCGTTTTTTTTCAGGCGGGCGTAAGCGAGGGGAGGACTTGGTGGGTAACCCTGGTGACAGTCAGCTACAGCTAGCGCAAGTCGGAAGGCTTCGTGAAGGCAAAAGCAGCGCGTTAACTAATGACAGCGAGTCCTAACAAGGCAAAGTGAGCGCTTCCTATTTTCACATGTTCTACCTAAAGTGACCTGACCTGGTGATAAAAACAGCAAATGCACAGCTCACATTTGGTTTAGACATAAGAGATGAAAATGTAATAAAAAAATACTTCAGAAGGGAAAATCCACAAAGTGACTTATGGCTGATTTTGATTCCTCAAAAAGAAACAGCTCTCAAAGCCCCTTTGCTTCCGTCTAACAGGACTACATTGTAAATATACTGCATGTGTCGGGACTAATACTTGTTATTCCACCTTTGTACTACTTGACCCCCCCTTGTCTAACTCGTATCAGTACCTCATTGGTGTCCTAAAATCAGGAAATTAGTCAGCGATTTTTTTGCACTCCCTGGTTCCCTCATCTCATCTCAAAGTCAAATTTCTTTTTCAATCTGTTGTAAACACAAATTGAAGAGATAATTTTGTTTTAAAGAGTCAAAGTCAATATACCACAGTTTTGTGATCTTTACGTGTGTTAAAAACTTGTTTGCTAACAAGTTGCTAAAGAGGCGAGGAGTTGGATTCTAGCGTTAGCTTCTCCCTTCTGCCGATTGCATTCACGCTAAAAACCCTGGAAGTGGTGTTCCCCTGTGAAAAGTTCATAAAGATAATGAAAGATTCTCGTTAGCTTTTTCTGGAGGGAACCAGTCATGAGTCACTGAAAATCACTGATACCTTCCTGTGGGTCAGAGGTGAAGGTCGGGAGCAAATACCTTCAAAAAGACAAAAACTGTTTCTGAGAACAACTATTATCGATTTGGAAGTGCAACATTAGTTTTGAACGTTTTTATCGAGCGACTTAACAATGCGAGAGGGATATTTGTGAGTGCTTTTCTATGTTTGCAAAATGAAAAACAATGAAAATATTACTTTTAATATTTTATAATAAGAGCAAGACTAGAGTCTACAGCCACAGCAGTGGCTCTATCAAGGCGGTGCTTTGAGGCTCGATGCTAATGTCGACGTGCTAACATGCTCACAGTGACAACGTTAGCATGCCAGTGTTTAGCACGCATTCACCTTGGTTTTGGGTGTGTTAGCATGCTAACGTTTGCTAATCATCTCTAAATACAATAAAGATGGGAATATTAAACTTGTAAACCAAAGTATTTGACAAATTGAAAGAAGAAATTGTTTGACCAGACGATGGTGCAGGAGGAAAATCACTCATTGTAACCTCATTCTGTAGAAACCAGGCAAAAGAAAATCTGGTTTCAGTCTGCATTTGTTATTGGCGGAACTGAATAGTCTAATCAAACTGTTTTCTGATTGTTTTCCATTAATACAACCTAATCGGAGCTTGCCAGCAAGCTGTATTATCTCCCTAAAGACATACACAAACTCACAATAATCCCCATAGTGGACGAGCAGCAGAACGTCCGTTCCAAAACACCGTCTTCCTCAGCACCGTTTTGCCATCCACACGCAAATATGAGCCTCATATTTGGAAACGCAGTATGAGCAAAGTCATCACCAACTACTGAGTAGTAGTCAAAGTAGAATATTTAAAGATATAGTCATATTGGATAAACAGAGCTGTTCTGTAGGGATTAATGCCTTCTATTTCCACAGACAAATTATGACAATCCTGCATCAGCTAATTGGACCCAAATACATTTGAAATACATTTTGTGACCCAAAGTAAAGAAATTGTTTAAATAGCAATACCATTTGTATGTGTCTTGGACTTTTTGAACTTCTAGCGGTCTTTGAGTTCAGGAGAGAATGATTTGACCTTTAACGACCACAGCAACACTTTAGAATTCAACCCATATTTGGAATTTGTCAGGCATATATTACTAATTTAAGTTCATAATACTGGCGCTGGGACCCTCTTCACGTTATACAGAACGTGGGGCGTGTTTACCTGCACGCAGCTTTCTGAAAAACACTGAAGATCTAGTTTAGTGAAAATTCCTTAGAGGCGAAACCATCCAGTTGATTATAAAAGACCAATACTGATCAATATATCAATAACAAATAGAGTTGGCTAGGGATTAGTGGGCTACAACAGCACACATGGATTGATACAAGACTTAAAAAGCTAAGTAGGTAACTTGAAATTGAGTTTTCAAAACTCACCTCTTCATGTGTAGCTCTCAATAATAATTTCAAATATCAGTGAAGCGTCTTTGATTACCCTGAAAAGCGCTCAATAAATACCATTTATTATTAAGCGATTACTGCCTGACTGATAATGAAACTGGCCGATAAGGAAGCAAAGAAAACCATCATAAATACAATCGGTTTCATTAGAAGTTAAAAAGATAATTTTGAAATGCGACCACTGCTGAATGTTGAAACCTGAATACCACTGAATGTGTTGCACTTCTTTGAACCTCGCGCCCTGGGCTTTTGGGGGGGGGACTTGTAAACCCTAATTCTTTCTTTTTCCACAAGTTTAACATTTAGCAAAAGTTATTTATTTCATTTGCTTATTTGTATTTTAATGACATGAAGAGGAGAAATAAGGCCAACTAGATTCAGACATAGATGTCAGAGTAAAACTAAACTAAAAATAAAAATGTAATGATTAGTAACTCAATCAATTGCTTTACAAAAATGAAATGAAACTACCGTGGCTTTCCTTTGCTTCCGTAGCAGTCAATATCATGTTTTAACTTTTAACTGATGAGGAGAAGGAGATGGATCCTAGATGCCAAAAAATGTGTAAACTAGAGAGCACAAACTACTTCACTTCAATGTCTCAGCACATGTATTGGCCAACATTCTCTAATAACCAAATTAACAGAAATACTTGTATCCAGTTATGTATATTAGAAAGGAATACTGATTTATGGTGAACTCTATAACATCGATACCGTGATAGTATAAGTTTTGGCACTCTGGCTACACCGACTGGTGTTCACCTCTACTGAAGACATTTCGCTGTTGAGCGGTTTCGCCTCCAGGAAACGATGGAAGAACTGATAAAGTGACCTCTGGAGATGCTGTCCTTCCTTTCCGCTGATAAGTGAATATTCAATCTCTTATGACGCCCCGGCTCATGAAGGAGGCGGACTGCGTATCATGGAAGCTGTACGCTAAACAGCCTCAGAATACGAACATATTCACATATTCAAATCCTCTCCCCCCCCCCCCAAAAAAAAAAACCTGGATAAGATTTTTTAAATCCCTGCAACAACTCAGGTGTCTGGTACGCGAGCGCGTCGACAGAGCGCTGGCGTGCATGTGAAGCCACAGGTACTGTAGTTCCAGCCTGATCTCCGAAACCTGTTCGTAAAAATGTATACGAAAATCTTGAAGATACCAATTCGTAGTGATACATACTAAATAAATACGGACTAACCCTAACTGATGACGTCACCCTATTCAAAGTGAATGGGGACCTGCACTCCGTTAATACATTTCGTGAAGTCTAACGATGTAAAATAAACGTGTTATGATTGCATTTTTAACGAGAAATCAATGTTAAATTGTAAGAATAGAATACTAACACTAACCCCCTCAAAAAATCCAACATGGCGGAGAGACGTTCACTCAAGAATCCAACATGGCGGAGAGACGTTCACTCAAGAATCCAACATGGCGGAGAGACGTTCACTCAAGGGGCGTGGTTAACCACCGCCAGTAAGTATGTATTGTTACGAATTTCTATGTCAAATATTTCGTATACATTTTTACGAACAGGTTTTGGAGATCACGTTGGTTGAAACGCCAGCCGGTAAACACCACTAGAAGCTCGCGTTGGACTATTCACACCCTGTTTGCCCTTCGCCTCCATAGAAAAGAGACCAACCGGCGCCGCCCCGGCTGGTCGCGTCCACGGAATTGCTTTCACCCTTTTGAACACTTTTAAATACACGTGTAGAAGATATACAAACGGTTCGCCACCACAGCTGAGACCTGGAGAGCCCCCACCGGAGGAAAAGAGAAGGCCAGGCCGGCACCTTTGTTGTTACTAATCAGAAATTTGTCGGCCATCTTCTATCGTAGTTTTTATTACTTAACTATCCGCAGGTGGTGGTTATTTCCATTCAAAGTTGTTGTTGTTGTAACTGGCGAGGCTCCACGTCACAGTTTGTCTTTCAAAGACGGCGGTGGCCGTTTCTCCGTGTTCGTTCTTTGTTTTGTGCGATCAATCCCTCGCCACAAAAAAACAAAAAAAACACATTTGTCCACAAAGAAACGGTTTCGGCGATCTGCTTAGTTTAAAAGTAGCACGACAACAATCAAATAACCTCCGTCGGCTGCTGATCCGCTGCGGTCCTGCGCGTCTGTGACCTCCGTCACTCTATAAAAGCACTTTGTGGCAAGCCTGTTCAATTAAAGCGCTTTCGGGAAATGGGTTTGGATCCGGTGAAGGTGGTCTTATTTGAAGAGAGGAGAAGCGGACCGTCCGATATGTGAAAGCACGGATTGTTGAATGTGGTTTTTCTGGGAAGACACACGGGGAGCATTCTGGGAATCACAGAGGGGGGAGCGTCCAAGGAACGGCTGACGGAGCACCGGCAGGTGTCAGGTGAACGGGTGCTTCTTTCCATCCTGATCCTCTGCTTTAAAATAGTCTTTCCTGCTAGTCCCGCCCCCTCACGCCCCCTCACGCCCCCCTGCTACCTGTCCGTGCAGCAAATGGTTGATTGGAATAGAAGTGACGGCCCGGGTCAGAATGAAGGTAGAGCTCCTCTCTCCTGGTCACAGACAGGAGGTAGGACGTGGCTGCGGTCTAGGAGGGGGTGGGGGTCTTCAGGGCGTCCACTTTGGTCTCCAGGTCGGAAATCTGTGAAAAAAGCAACAGAGCCGTAAAAACATCAACGCTTCGAGTTGAATTTCACAAAAGCACCGACTGGATGAACAGGCTCTTGTTTGCTAAAGGGGATAAACGATGCATCTGCAAATGTAGTTCTTTTATTAACTACAGATAATCCACAGGAGTGAAAATGGGGCCTTTTGTTAATTAAAATGTAAAAGCAAACAGTATTGTTTTCTGAGGGAGGAGCAGACAGGAAACGGTTTTACTGACCTTTTCCTGTAAATTGTCCGCCTCCTCTTTGTGTGTCACCTCGCTCTCTTCTTGAGCCCGACGCTGAGCCGTCTCCTTCTTCAGGAACTCGATCTCCCTACGACACACACACACACACACACACACACACACACAGACCATTAAAGCATTGTGTTCTTTTGTGTTCTCGGTGTCCTTGGGTGCATCTCTGCTTCCTTACTTCTGCTGGTACTCTTTAATCAGTCGCTTGGCCTTGCTGTACTTCCTCTCCAGGGTCTGGTACTGACCCTGGGTTTCCTTCAGGTGTTCGTCCACCGCCTGCAGGCACAAAATCACACAACCTTCAATCTATACCTTTTAGGGGGAAATTATATCACATCTTAGCTGTTGTGAGATGCATGTACTAGTAAAATATATTATAACATTGTCTTGTGCTAAAGCCGTGTCTCAAGTGTCGTGTATTTGACCCTGATGTGCAAAGAGCAGCATGATACAAAATGTTGCTTTGCAGCTGTGCCCTGAGAACAACAAAGGACTTCTGTTCATGGCCTTGGTTCATATCTTATTCGGTACGAAAGTTCCGGATTCACATTTTTTACTTTATGTCAATTAATTATGATTTGCACCGGCCACTGAGGAGGATCTTGTGTGTGTGTGCTACCCTCAGCTTCACCTGGGTTCTTATCTCAACCTGCTTTGTAGCTTCTCGTAACTGGCACGGAGAATGTCCTTCACATGTGTATAAAAACTCAGCGTTCTTACTGCTCGGAGACGCCATTACACCGAGCGCTGAGATACGTGCTGGTGTGTTGGACCTCCTGCTTGCAAGCAATAGTTAGAGCCAGATATCTGCGGAGAATCTCGGTGGGTTGGAGATCCTGACACTGTCAAACTTTCTTTTTAAAAGAAGTTCATTGGGTGTCTTGCTGGCACAAAAATTCTAAAAATGGCCATATTATTATATATTATTTAATATTTTCCACTCTAACAGACTTCAATATTTTACCCGACTTCAGCCCGACCATAGTGAACATGTCGGAAGTGTAACCCTTTACGTGCTAGTCTGTTAAGATACAACTCTTATTTTTATTAAAAAAAAAAGCTTTTGTGCGGTATATAAGAAGGAACTTTTTATTCTTATTTTCACAGTCTGGAATAATTGAATGAAAAGCAGCTACATTGATTCTGATGTGTTGCATAAAACACGGCAGTGCTCCATAATACCTCCAATATAAAACCAGGGAAATATGTACCTGCGGTAAATAGTGAAAAATATAGATTAGATGGCTTGGATTCAGATTGAATAATAGAATGCAGGGTTTTATTATGGACCTTTTTGTTTGTAAGGACTGAGTGTTCTTTTGGCTACACCGCATATTTATATATTCATTATAGGTGTTTTAGTTCTAGGTGTTTAACTTCCAATCAGCAATTCGTGCCATTCACATCAACGGGCAAAATAATGTGAAACCTCACATATCCCAAGTGATGGGGCACCATGGCGACGGACAGCTTCCTCGTGTCCGCTCTGCCTTGAATTACCTTACACAGCGACTGCGCCTCCATCCAGTAGCCCTCTAGCTTTTCCATCCTCTCTTTGCTGTCCCGGATGTTTTGCTCCAACTGAGCGCGCTCCATCCGCCAGCGCAACTTATCCTGCTCCGCGTGAGCCAGCTGGAGGCAGAGGGGTGTGAATGTGGGAGGAGGAGGAGGAGGAGGTGGTGCAAGGGAGGCAGAGCCAGCGTTAAACAAGACGAGGTACCGGTGTGGTGCTAGATTAGCTGGATGTGTCACTGTATTTTGTGTCTGCGTGGAGGCTGAACATTCTCACCTTCCTCTTCAGCAGCTGGATCTCCGCCTGTGTTACTGCGTGTTTAATCTGGAGCTGCGGAATGAAAAGAAACGCATGATACATCCAGCTTGGGAGTCAAATAATGAAATGCCGCATCGAAACCATCAACGCCGCCCGCACCTCTTTGAATTTGTGGGCCAGCTTCTCGGGGTCCAGCTCCACGGGAGACAGCGTGTCCTGGTTCTCGGCCAGGTCGAAGACCTCAATGGAGTTGGGAAACACCGGACTCATCTCCTCCTCCTCGTCGGTCGCATATTCCCCCGTCTGCAGGAAAGATGACAAGAAACGCATTATGGCCGTTGATTTGTCGCCATGAGTGTAAAAGTGGTTTGTTACGGGGATAATGCTGCTTCGGGCCCCTTAGAGGTGCTGCCTGGCACATTTCGTTACCTTTGGATTTCTAATCCTTTATGTGTCTCTGGTGAGACATTCAATTGACTTCAGAATCAGGCCTGAAATGTGCAGCATGTGTGCAATGTTAGACTGTGAGCCCCCCTCCCCCACCACCCTCTCCCCAGTCATGGGTTTAATCCCAGTGGACGACCGGACCTTCGCCCCCACTCGCCCCCACTCGCCCCTAGTGTTTTGGAGAGTCGTCCCGCTGAAGTGTCCAAACCTCTCTGACCACAAGGTGGAGAAGTTGGACTGGGTTTGAAAAGTGCCCGGCCACATGGTGGCACACAGACGGACATTTTGTCACAAACACACACACACACACACACACACTTCAGCCCCTCTTGACTTCCTGCAGCTAACGAAGGCGTCGGCTGCAGATGTTCCAAGTCGTCGGCCTGAGAGCATCACCTCCTCCTCGTCGTCCATGTACTGCTTGTATCTCTGCTCCATCATCTCCCGCTGCCACTTCTCTTGCTCCAGGGTCTGCTGGATCAGCTGAGCCACCTCGCTCTGCTCCCCAGGCTTCTCCCGACCAATCACGAAGCTGGGAGTCGAAAGAAAAGTCAATATTCCACACGTAAAGTCCACGACAAAGCATCTACAAAAAAACACTACAAATTAAAAATCAGCACCCGCTAAAAACAAAGTGTGTGTGCAGGACGGGCGGCGGCGCAGAGAGTGTGTGTCACACCTGACGGTGCCGCTGGTGTTGCGGAGGACGGAGGCAGCGAGGCTCTGAGTGACGCCGACCAGGCTGGTCCCGTCAACCTCCACGATGAGGTCGTTCACCAGGATCCTGCACACAGACACAAGGGAGCACATGTGGGGGGGGGTCAGGAAGTCTCTTTTTCAACTTTAAACACGCGAGGGGAAATACGCCGTTACTGCTTTATAAAATGATTATTAGCTTTTTATGTAATGCATTCCATATATTATATCATTTTGTCTTATTTTAACAAGAGACACACATTTCAGCCTTACGCTGCATTTCTTGTACAAAACTACGATACATCATGCATATTGTTATTAATACATTGTAACAAGAGGATAACTAGCAGTGGAGATTTGTGACTTCTGGCACTTTTTGAGCCTTGTTCGATGTTGGGGCAGCGATGTTAGGAGAGAATATGCGAGGGTCTGCTATGAGGGGCCCACGTACTACCAACACCGGCATGGTCTCGCCATAATGCCCTCATGTCACGTTTAACCACAAAAATACATCTTGTGTACAATGCGTGTCAATCCACGGATAAAAAAAATAAAGGCACTATTTATAGTTTTTTGGGTAGTAGTTTTTTGGTGTTTTTTCTGCGTGAGACGTGTGGACGAGGACGGGTGGAGGACGGGTGGAGGACGGGTGGAGAGGGTACCTGCCGTCTCTCTGTGCAGCTCCTCCGTCGGTGACCGTCTTCACAAAGATCCCCAGTTTCTCCAGACCCATATCAGCTCCTGCACCCATGCCGATGATACTGATCCCCAGACCCTCGCTGTCTGGAGACGCACACACACGCACACACACGCACACACACACACACACACACACACATTAGGTCACGTTAACATGTTCATCTCCCTCCTCTTCTTCACTCAATGCTCTAAAACTCACACATGGCTCTGCAGCCTTCACGGAGGGTTGCCGGTTCCAATCCATTACCTTCAGAATGACCAGCGGCTAATTGGGCTAATCGGCGCTGAGTGTAATCCCATGAGGGGATGAGGGTTGTTGGCGGGACAGCGAGCGTCCACCAGCTCCCCGTCGGTTACATGAGAGGCTTGACTGGGTGACTCCCGATGGTCGTAAGGCCGTGTGTGTGTGTGTGTGTGTGTGTGCGCGCGTGCGTGTGTGTGTTTATGTACCTTTCTCCAGCTCCACAGGAAACAGGTCCAACTTCTCCACCCGTTTCTCCAGCTCGTACTCGGCCGAGGCCGCCATGGGGTCGACGTCGTCGTTGCGCCGATCGTAGTCTTCGTTGGAGTAGGTGGTGAACACCTGCGCCGAAGGGTGAAAAGGTGAAAGGTCAGAGGGGCTCTTTACTGCAGTTCAATTCTGCTGCACAACAAATGTAGTTAATAAAAAAAACATTGATTAGCTATAATCACTTGGTCCCAGAACATAAAGAAATCAATTGGTGCAGCTTTATTTGTTTTCATCCTCTTTCTATTCTAATGTTGTACTTTATTTTCTACATTGAGGATGAATATCCAGGTGCTTGATCCATGCGCTGTGCGTGCTGAAGACGTACGCTTGATTCCCACCCATCATGAGCAGAGACCAACACTGTCTACGTTGTCCTCACCGGACCACATGCGGACTCATGTCGCACCGTCCTCAGGAAGAGGCACACATGGGGGGGACATGCAGTGTGAAACGTCTCCCACTTTGTCCCACCTCCATTCCCATCCCTTCTGTAAGCTCTATCACGCCCCTCCCCCTCTTTGGAAGGTCAGCCGCATCGGTCTCCCGGGTTGCCATCTCCGTGATCACATGGCTTTGGTTTCCTTGGCAACCACAGGCTTACCCAGTGTGAGTTTGGCACTGATCTGTCTCTGTCTCTCTGTCCCTGTCTGGCAGATATGCTAATGTATGTTAGACGACATACAGAAAGAGTCAAAGGACTTTCTGTGTAGGACGTGCTGGTTACAGAGTCCCTTGAATTAGAGGACTGAGGCGCGCGCACACACACACACACACACTCTGACACAAACAGGGTCAGAGGGTGTGATTGTTCAACTGTTTCCTGTAGTCGCGTTCCCTTCCTGTTGAGTAACTTTAAAGCTGTGTTGGTGCGTTTCTGTGAGGCACGACAGACTTCCCCGTACGCACAATCACTACTCTGCCACTGACACAAGAGCGCACAATGAAATCACAGACGACAAGCAGAACAACAACAACAAACAACAACAACAAACACTCCCCACTGAAACGACTAGTGCAGTAAAACCATAAAATCATTGCACTGCCCCTTTAAAGTCTGATCCGCTGTGGCCATGTGACCAAGAAGATCCATATGTAGACTTGATCCACCATCAGAATATCAGCATTTACACACTGAATTATAAAGTCTTGGACTTTCATTTGATTATAATTGTATGTGGTGCTGGTGGTGGTTTAACGGTGTGGAGGTGTATTTTCTTGGCACACTTTGGTCTTCCCATCTTCTGATGGCTCCTTCCAGCAGCATAACGCACCATGTCACGTATCTTCTCAAACTGGTTTCTTGAGCAGAATGAGTTCCCTATTCTCCAGTTGCCTCCACAGTCTCCACCTCTCAACCCACTACAGCACCTTTGGGACGTGGTGGAGATGTGCATCACAGACCACTGCGTGATGTTATCATGTCGAGACTTGTCGGCATCTAGAGAACCCATTTTCATTCATCCATGCCAGATTCACGCTGCATCTGAAGAGCGTATGAAACCGCAAACTGTTTTGTTAAATTGCTCAAGTTATTTCTCAGGCAAAGAGTCTTTTAGATCGAATTCTCAAAATGTGACAATTAGCTGCATTAATTCATCATACAATGATAAAAACAACTTTCTCCTGTAGACTGAAGGAAACTGTTGCGGGCCTTTTTTATCACTACGCGGGTGTACGGTGATCATTTTAGGACATCCTCAGGTCTCAGACTCGATTGTCAGACTCGAGAAGGCGTCAGACTCAGAAAAACCTCTGTCATCCTCACACAAAACTCCGTCAATCCAAACGGCGTCATTCTTCCTCAGTCAGACAAAAGCTTGTCAGAAATAAACTTGTCAGAGCTAGATGAGGGAGCTGTTGACTAGCTTCCTGAATTAGCTAAAGTCAATTAATCTTAACTGGTACAGCAAGAAAACTTACAAAATAGTTATTTTCCACGTTTAGTCCTGCGTTCGCCATGGACACAACAAACAAACTGCTGAAGCATCATAACACGTCATCAACACGCGCGATATTAAACAGCTGCTCATTAGATGTGATTTAGCTGACGCGTTTATCCAACCCGACTTACAATAAGTTTGGAGTTACTTACGACAATAAGTCGCTTGGAGGATGCGGGCATCGATCCCGCTACCTCTCGCATGCTAAGCGAGCGCTCTACCATCTGAGCTAATCCCCCACTGCTGCGAACCGTAATAGCACCTATAAAAAAGCAGTGTTAGAAAATAAAGTAAGACGTTTTATGAACATTTAAAATGAATGCATCCACTTGTCACTAACCTAAGTTTGCTAGCTAGTCAGACTTAACAAACTAGCAGAAGGTCTATGATAGTACACAACATATGTTTCGTTTGAATCGTTTCCTTCATGGCAGCGGTTCCCAAACTCCCAATTTGAAATATGAAAATCGTTCACGGCCCACCCAAACCTTTAATCACAACTCTGATCAAAACATAATGATTAAATGACCTTAAGAATTTAACCAAAATCAAACATCCGCGAGCAAAAGTCCGTCTCGCGAGGTATTTGCTCGCTTGCGAAACGTGAACTTCGTTGCTCGCGAGGAGAATCTCTGCTCGCGCTCGAAGGAGTTTTCTACGCGCTCGCTGTTGTTCTTTTTGACAGTGAGGTGGAGACGATGCTTTCAGGGTCCGATCGATGCGTCAAGGTGCGTCCGCTCCCGCCAGCCCCCCTCGCCATCCACGCCTTAAATCTTCGGCTGCTTTTGTCTGAGATCTGAGGATGTCCTAAAATGATCACCGTACACCTGCGTGGTGATGAAAAAGGCCCACAACCGAAATAAACGCAGTCCTTCTCTTCTCCTTTTGATGATTTCCATCAGGAACCGGTGCGTCCCTAAACTCCGTCAAAGGATGATCAACTGGCTATTCGGCGCGCACACACACGCACGCGCACACACACGCACACACACACACACGCACACACACACACCCCAGGGGTCCGGTTCAAGTAGGAGGTTTAACAAACTCGGAGTCAAACCCTAAACTCTGAGTTGATTTACCCTGAGCTGTTTAGAATTGGTTCAATCAACTCGGAGTAGGTTGACTCAGAGTTGAGCGCGTGCACCGCCACAGTATGAAGGCAGCACGAATGGAGCCATGATACCACGATTCACCATGGCAACCACCACAAACAATATATTCACCCCCTATTGAGCTGCAAATACTAATGCAAGCGTACGACGATTATGAACCCGTAATTAGAAAGAAAAGCAACACCGATACTGCAGCAAAAGATTAGACTATGTTCCAATATAGTGTTGTCAGTTAACATTTAATGTACACACTAATCATAATCCATACGTTTTACTAATTCCCAGTTTTTACGCAGTTCGTTAGAATGCACTACACACAGGCTTGAAATGCACTTATTTGCTCATATTTAATCACAACTGCTCATATTTAATCACAACAATATTGCTGGTAAAAACTGGTACAATGGTATTGAACCTATAATGTGTTTTATTCACGAACTCCTCTTTAATGGCTTCACTGGTTCGTGTCCAGGGAACAAAAATGTTTAAAAGACGTTTCAGAGCGACGCACATGTTTCTCACGGCTCTGCATACAGCAGCTTTACTAATATTCTAATGCTGTAAAGGAAACTGACGTTTGCAGAAAAGGTAATTCTACACAAAGAATGTGTTTGTATGTGACAACATGTCCACGATGAGTGACGTTACTTGTGAGGACGGGTGAGGTCATGTACATATTTGATCGACTATGAAGAAAAATGATACCGTTTAAACAAGTAGACATCTGGAAATGACAATATACCTAATAAGGCCTCAATATTCTCTCCCAACGTGTTTAACACCCTGCGAAGTAAAAGCGCTTCTTCATCAACAGGACTGTCCAGAAAAGTACGCGCCATGTTCCAGAAAACACTTCGGTCTTTAACGTAACATCTTATTTTGTTCATATGTGGAAACTGCGCTTAAATCCGCCTGATACAGAGTACTTGAATGAATGAGGAAATGAAAGCCGCTGTGTGATTGGCTGGGCTGCTGTCAGAGGGAGGAGACTGTGAAGGAAACTCCAGGTTTATTGAAGAAAACTGCTCCCGACCAGGTTAGAATCACAGGCTCAGTTACCATGGTGACCGACCCTGAGCTTTAGTTACCTCCCTTTGTGAAACGGACAAGACATCCCTCACCTCATGGTTAACAAACTCTGTTTCCACTAAACCCGCTTCTTCAAACGGACCCCTGGTGTGACGCCTTCCACACAAAGCTCCACTTTGTAGTTCCTATCAATCAGCTTCCCCTGCCCTCGTATATTTTTCTGTGTGTGTGTGAGTGAGAGACAGAGAGAGTACACGTGCGTTTTCAAGGAAAACAAACACACCCAGCAACATTCCAGCAGCTTTTTTTCGCCTACGCACAGAGGCGGCCTTGTGCAGCACTCGGCCCGGTCCAGTGTGTGTGTGAGCAGCACCGCCCGGCTGTCATTGATCCTTTATCACCCTTTAGCCACATGTTTGAGCTTCTTAAAAGTGTCAACATCCCACAGCGTTTCTCTTGCGTGTGTGCCCTCGTGATGTCAACGACAATCACCAACCAGCTTAGAAATTGTGTAACAGCGGCCAACGTGTCCAGGCAGGGAGTCTCATGCTCCCTCCTTCTCCTTTCACTTCATATTCTGCCATTCCGAGTCCATGCTGCATGCTGCTACCGTTTTGAAGTCATGTGACCGTTACAATAATCTGTATTCCATGTGACTGTTGAATACAATATATTGAGAGAATAGCAGAATAAAAACGTATTGAAACTCTGCGTCTGTGTATTTCATTCCTGTGCGTTACAAAGTGGCTTGTCTCATGTACAGGGAACCTCTTTGAACAAATAAATGAAGGTAATGATTATGCTGCATTCACACAAAAGACCAGACATCATTTCAGCAGAGAAGAGGAGGCCGGTAAAATGAAGTAACACCAGCAGACAACAGCGGCTGCGGTAATGGTAGGCGTCCAAAAGTTAAAATATGTATTGTCTATATATATTTATTATATTAACCACAAAATGTACCACTGAGTGTCCCTCGCATGGGAGAAGTATGCCTAAGTAGGCGAAATAATACTGTATTTTATAGCTACACGCATTACGAAATCAGTAAAGTTATTCAATTTCTTATTATTTTATCACCATAGCAACATATAATCATGTGAGTTGTCCGTCTGCTATCGGCCGTCTACCTGAATCCACATGGATGCGGCGTCACTACTAGTTGATTTCTCTTTCCCACTTCTGTTGCTGTTATTCTAAATAGACATATATGAATATACAACATTAACAACCGGCCAAGGCTCAGTATTTTTTTTTGCTCCATGACAGAGTTAATATACAGCATGAGTTATTCTTTTCAGGCTTTTGTACATTACCTTGCTTTTGAGGAAGTGTAAGGAGTTCTCTTCATCTCCGAGGAGAATGTGACAGTGTTTTGTTGTATAGTGTGATGAACACTTTCATCAACACTTTCAACAGCGATTAGAAACCACATGACTGCCACAGTGGGGATGCTTTGCGTTTCTGAATCAGAGAACACTTTTATCGCTAGGCAGCTAAGGCTAACAGTTGCCACGGTAGTAAACGGCACCGCCTCAAGCTACCAGTCGACTTTCAGCCGCACTGTTGCCAAAGAGGTCAGTGGTTAAAATGTCCAAGGAAATGTTAAGAATTCCTTCCTGACTGAGAAATAACACCTGTTCCTCCTTATGATCTTCTGCCGCCTGCATACGTGGACATTGAGAAATATTACACAGGACAGTTGGTATCTTGTCATTATACAATAAAGTTAGAGAGAAGGACAGGTAAATATCTTTAGTGAGGATGTGCATGTGTGCAGCTATCTGCAATACCGTGGAAGCTAAAGAGAAGAGATTAAGAGAGAAAGGAAATGATTGAAAAGAGGCACCGACTTCCTCCTCCGTTAACATCACCACAGTATTTCCTGCTGACTCTAGCTTAAACTTTGTGCATGTGCGCTTGTGTGTTCTCATAGGCGTAGGTCTTGATTTCACACAATGCTTTTTCTGTGCTTGAGTGCTCCCCCCCCCTCCTCCCCAGCTTCACAGCGGTCAGCTGGTCGAGGTCTTTGCGTCAGAATGAAGTCAACTCGTTGACGCCACACTTCCTCAGAGAGACGACGATAATGCAGCGAGGTAATGAATAAGATGCTTTGATATCGAACGCACGGCGAATTGAACATGCTGTTTCTTCAGCAGGTTTCTCCATGGACTGATGGAGATATCTCCCCCAAAGAATAAATCTGAATATTTATCAGCTTTTCACCAGTGGTCAGCTGGTCAATAAAGGGCCATTGGGCCTCCGTGAGCGCCTCTCCTTGACCAACCCCCCAAAAAATATATATTTGTGTGTTATAGATATCAAATGTACCCAATTATATTTGTAAAACCTTTTATCTGCCCAAAATAGATGCTTTTTCTGCACGTCCTGTCTGCCTGTCTTGGCAGCGCTGGGGCCACGCAGAAATGGCCCACAGGAGGCGGGTCTATAAAGCAGTCTGGCCAATTGCTGATTAAAGATATAAATGTGTGACATACAATTTAGCGAATCAGCTATTGGACGTCTCAGACCACCCTTTGAGACCATTTACGTTACGTTAAGTGTCCGGCAAAACCTCACTCACTGTGATTGGCCCAGTGCTGAACTGAATCTTCCTATTTGGTGGCGGGGGTTCCTCTTCCTCAGGGAGACCCGGGATCTCGGAGCAGCTGGTCTCCGGCTGATAGGGCTCCTCATCTTCCTCATCGTCCTCGTCGTCTAGCTGGCTGCCCCCAGAGTCCTCCTCCCCGAGTCCGCTGTACGCGCTGATATCCACCAGGTCGCCCTCCGAGTAATCCTCTTTCCTTGAGCCATCCTCATCGTTATCCTCCTCCTCGCCCCTCCTCTCAGAGTCCCCTCCTTTCTCCTCCTCCTCTGAAGAGGGAGAAGACCCCGGAGGTTCTTTTTCCCCGTTTTCCAACGAGGCGTGGACCTCCGCCTGCACCAGCCTGGCACCGGCCTCAGAACCCCCGGTGGAGCCGTCTCGCTCCGGGGCGGCCACCGTACTTGAGCCCCTGGCTTCAGTGGCTGTCGGCCGGTGCTCCAACTCTGGCTTGATTCCCGAAGAAGAGGAGGACGATGACGAGTAAGAAGAGTTGGGGAGATTGTCTCCTGACTGTATGAAGCCTTTCTTCTCCTCGCTGGCCATCTCTTCCCCTATGCTCCTCTCTAGAGTCTCTCCTGGTTGTTCCTCTGCCTGAGTGCTCACAGCTGACATCTCCTCGTCGTCCTCGTTACCTACAGGGAGCATTTTTCCCTAAAAGAGACACAAGGAGAAAAAATCCTGTTTTTCCTCCAACAAGCTTTCTATGTTTCTACCAAAATTTGTGATGTTCTTTTATTTCCAAATCGAGAAAAGTCTTCTCACCTTCTTTCCGGTAGCCTCCGTTCTGGCTGGAGGTTTGGGCTTGGGCGGTAGGGCGGGGCCTGACCGACGCTGGGGGAGGGCGACATTGTTTTGCGGGTCGGTCTTCTCAAATACCGCACTGAGCTGGCTCACGGTGGGGCTGACGGCGTCTCCAGGCCCAACTGAAGCTGCGGCAGCGGTAAGAGCCGGCGCCGGGAGAGGAGCCGGGAGAGGAGCCGGGGGGTCGTCCAGTCGGTCCAAAGCCTCAGTGGAACCGTTGAAGCGAGCCACGACATCGAGGCGGCTGTCCTGGAAGCCCGATGCGCGCTCTTTCTTCAGCAAGATCCGGTTGGTGGCGGCCTGCTTCTCCTGGAGGAGGCACCAGTCAGTCGCGGCCTTGAGTCAGAATGAGAATAAACAAGAAGGTACCGCAGACGTCCTTCCTACCTGTAGAGTCCGCTGTTCGAAGATCCTCCTGGTCTCCTGGAGTTTGGAGAAGCCCCCACCGTCTCCGCCGGGTTTGGAGTCAAAGCGGTTGACCCTCTCGGACACCGTGGCCCCGAGCTTGAGCAGGGCGCTGTGGTCGACGTTCTCATTGAGGCTGGACGCCCTCGGCAGGGACAGTTTCACCGACTGCTCGACACCTGGCGGTGACGAGGGAGGTAATTCAGATCGAAAGATTGTGACGAGCAAAAGGGTCAAGGAAGAGGGAAAATCATTCCAGTTTCACACCACATTGGTCGCATTGGGTTTCGGGGCAGTGATAATGTATTAATCTTCCACATTGCAGCAGTTACGTTGGTTGTCCGAGAAGAATCAATACCGATAGAAATGATTGCGAAAAATACAAGAACAAAACCCAAATAGTTTCTCTGTTGTCTATTTTGATTTAATTTCTTCTAAATGGCACACAGTATCACAATCACACATGTAAAATTAGGTTTGACTCTTTTCTAAGAAAATGTTGTTTTTGTTCCTCTTTCTCTTTATGTGGATATGTGGAAATGATTACTGAACAAAGGAATATTGGTTAATTCAAGACGTTATTTTTCTTATCTACGACTCTCGTTGAAGTTACACCAAAATGATGAACTTTAGCTACTTAAGATAGCGTTAGCTAGCTAGTCCTAATAGTGCGCTCCATGGCTGCAAAGTGCCAAAAAACACTGACAGGTTTCCACCGGTGGATCAATGTAGACGACGCAGCATTGTTCTTGTAAATCAAATGTCCCTTTGGAAACGCTGCTTTGAACTCCCCAAACATGAGCAGAGCAAATAATGCACTAACTTTTAGCCTCAGAATAGGTTACAAAGCAGTTAGTAAGCTAGTCAGCCGGGCATGCTAATGTTTGCAGCTTACACTAAAGCATATACACAGTTTAATTTACTCTAAATACATTTTTTGAAAGGCTAAAAAAAAGGGTATCTAAACTAACTCAACAACAAAATATTGTTCTCATTACGGCCACTTATACAGTGCTTCAACATGACAACATGCCTTGCCTCAATTGCTGATGTTTTTAGACAACTGAATTGTGTGTTGGTTGGTATGATCAGTGAACACTCATTTCCAAACATCGCTCCACCCAACTCCACCCAACTCCACCCAACTCCCGCCTGACCACCGGTCGATCAGCCTATCATTTGAACACCTGCGTGTAGGTCTTTGAAAAAGCCTGAATTGGGTTCAAATTGGAGATTAGGAGTTATAATGTAAACTGTGGGTGACCAACTAGTAACATAATAATGAAAATAACTAGTGGACGTCATTGAGTTGTCCTCACAACGTCCATTAAAGACCATGACCAAACGAGTTACCGATCATTTTGTCTCCGTCCTCCTCGTCGCCAGGCGACTGCATCTGCATGAACATGTTCTTGATGCGGTGAACATTGGAACCGTATTTCCGTCCCCTCCCGGTCGGCCGAGGCAGAGGGGCGGGTTTGTGGGCGGGGCCAGCGCCTCCGTTTGCGGCGTTGTTGAGGTGGTCGGTGGCCTTCTTGAGCGCCGCCAGGCCCGCCTCGTAGGCGTTGCGGTGGGGCGAGGGACTCCGCAGGTTCGCGCTCCCGCTGCCGGCGTTGCCCCCCGGGGCCGCCGGGGGTTCGGTCTTCATCATGTTTGGTAGATCAGATGCCAGCCGGGGAACAGCAGGTCAGCAGGGACGGGGACGGCAGCATCGTGGAGCTGTTTGACCTCCTGCATCACACAGATCACATCCGGTTCAATGACATGTTATCAATCATAACGGATGCCCAAGATGGAAGAGAACGAATGAAATTGAACATCAACTTCTACTCTAAAGATATTCAAATTGCAAACTAGTGAATTATGCTCTTTTTGCTTGATGAAAACAACGTCTATCAATCAATTAAATGAATTATTCACATTCCAGTCAAGAAGAACATTATCAGCATTCAAAATTCATACGCAGTTTGTTTCGGAGCTGTTTTTGAACCATCAAATTGAAATTGCGGTTCACGGTCCGCACCTCAAACTAGTAGGTTTACCTGACATGAAGGTTTCTACTTCTTAACCCTTCTTCAGAACATCTTAATCGACACACAATTAAATGATTTCCTCAACAAATCGCTGAGTTGATTTTATTGACAGAGCTGTGAAATGAAGCGCACATGAGCACCACTTTAAATTTAAATCCATAAGAGATGCTCATAACTTTATTGTAAATACTGCAAATACTGAAATACACAAGACGTATTGACTCAAAACAATAGTAATAAATCAAGACCAAAACAACCGACTAGTTGACTGAGACCAATCAAGTTTCACTTATTTGTTCTGGAGTAACTTTCTCAACACTATCATCAGCGTTATCTTGGATTTTGGCTCTCAACTGCTAATTTCCATTACAACCCTACCAAAAGATGAAGATCACATTGTGCGGCACCACAGGAAGAGTAAAACGCCGTGTCTCTGCCTCAAGTTTGATCCTTTTCAGTCAAGTGCCCCAATCACAATTTTCATCAATAACCTCCGAGAATCGCCGGAAAATGACCAATCCGACAGAGTTGTCGATGATGACATCGCTGTTCATTTCATAACACCCACAAGGCGCTCCGGGAGCTGTCAAAATAATCCAATTAAAACGCTGACGCACTGTGACCTCGCCTCACGTGTCGTGTGTGTGTGTGTGTGTGTGTCTTCTTCAATGTTGCTTCTGCAAATGCCAAACTTACTTTGTGACAAAGTCAGCGCGGGAAGACAGAAGCCCCGACCCCCCCGTAACCCACCCGACCCCCTCCGACGCTCCCCAGGTATCAAGCTGCCTTCTCATGATCACAATCCCATTAGGCGGCTGACTGCTTTTGCCTTCTGCTTCACAGTGAAGTGGGATGTTTTCATCGGGCTTTGATTCTCGTTCTGCGTCTTGCAATGACGAAGTATAAAGAAACGTAAAAACCGGGTATGGATATTAACTCATTGAGACCATAATCGGCAGGTTGTAAACAATGTCTGTATGAAGGGCTTAAGAAAAATGCTTATTTCATCAAGATACTGTTGAAGAAATGTCTGCACTCCCCCCCGTGAGCGAGCCCGTCCCCCTGGTGTGAGACTTGATACTGGCCTGTAACGCTAACAACGTTACCGCCGGCAAAATACCTCTGCTGATTAAATCCACGGTCATCTGCGTCCACGCAGGTCGATCAACACGGCCATTTGGAAATCATATCCGCCGAATGTGTTTCACGGATGTCTTTGACTGCAAAGACATTGTCAAGACATTGACAAGAAGTCAAATCTTGATCGTCAATACAACCAGTAATATTTATCTGTCTGTTTTTTTTACCAGTACTACAAAGGTTCAGTTAATGAAGTAGACAGTCTACGATGCGATATTTCAGGGTATCATAAGCTAAAAAATGCAAACGCAGGACCGTGCAAAACAATAACGTCTCCCCTGGTGTTTTGTCCTGTAGACCAAAGTTGATGATGTTCCTCGCCTTGAGGAGCCCTTTCTGGGCAGGTGTCCTCCTCGTGGCCCCAGGACAAAGCTCTGAACGAGCGCGTTATGAAACGGATACTTTCCACATTACGAAACATCAATGGCTTTTGCAACTCAGGTAATTACTTTATCCAATGTGGACTGAGCGTCCTTCTTTCTTTCGTTTTTCCTGTGGGTTTTGTGTGAAAATTCACACCCAGAGTGTGAGGTTTCTGATACCGACATCGTTGCAATAACCCAGCCTGATTCAACAATCAGTGAAGGTACAACAGACACGATGTGCGGTAGTCCGCTCGTGTTCCGTCTTGCCTTGAACTTTGTTTCTCTGAGTCTGAACAAGCCAAAAACTAGAGTCTAATTTTCCAACTATGTTAAACCAAAGACACCCAAATGAGGGGCCCCCGCATCACAGCTTTGTATGATGTCATCACTAATTGATGTCGTGTTGAGTTCCTCATCATCAAAGCATAATAAAGAGGTTCAGATCTGTGGTTGCGTCGGGCGTAAGAGCCAGTGCAGACATTACAAGCTTTAAAACAACCTTTAGCTGGAGCTAATTTACCACGATTTTACACTGTTGGTCACCGCGGTAACGGCAGTGCAGAGCAGCTGCTACTAGCGGACTAGCACAACAGATAGCTTAGCTCACGTGCACAACCATGCACGATACGTGAGCAGAGAGAAGCTCTGATGGAAGCAGAGAGCGAGGGGCACCTCATTCCAACATGCAGTGAACTTCAACCAAAGATTCCTTGCATCCTTTTCCATGGCAACGCTCTCACGGACTGGATACAAACACACGCGGCGTTGTTACGGAACAAAACCGTTCATAGGTCAAATGTAAATGAAATGAAGCAAAGCGTTGTTGAAAGTGTGCTGACGGGGCAACCGGGGGAAGTTAGGAAGGACCCGGTTATGTTCCTGCCTGCATGGGGCCCACATGGACCCCTGATGACACCGCTGACCACAAAGGGACCAAAACACACACAGGAGGTCCTGTGACACTGTCTTGCTGAATAGTAAATTCTCACACACTGATCATGCGATCTTATAAGAAAGGCAAATGTCTGTGAAGCAAAGAACTCTTTCAGACGCCTCTAGACACACACACAGACACACATGGAGCTGATAGTGCTCTGGGCCTTATTTCCGTCCTCCTCTTCTGACGTGCATAAACCTGACATGCACCACAGAAACAAGCTAAATCGGCCTCCATCTGACCACATTGAACCGGCGGATCCGACCGCCAACCCAGCGCTGGAATTAAAAACCCGAAGCAGACGTTGGTCCATCAAATAACGTTGTGCACCTCGGTTCTGTTTTGTAACCAGATTAGAACGAGGTGCATTTAGGGAGAGCTGCCTTCCTCCCCCTCCTCCTCCTCCTCCTCCTCCTCCTACGAATGGCACACACAGTCTCAATCAGGCCAACACAATCTAAAACAACACCATCACTGCCTGCACCAATAACCATATGGAGGTACACGGCTATTGACCTGTAATATCTTGACGTGCAAACAGCCCCTCCCTTCACTAAATACGGGCTACACACGCGCGCACCGCCTCTGCGCGTGCAGACGCTGTGAGACGTGTTCGGGTGGTTCGTCCGGCATCGACGACCTTCATCCCGTCGTGTGGGACTGGAGCTGCGCGTGCACGCCTGCGGGTGTGATGATGGTCATAATGGTCCCGATTGAGACGCGAACTCGCGTCCGCCGCTGTGGGATTCTCCGCGCGGACGCGTAATGTGCCCGCGCGTTCAGACGAGAGTCCCCAAGTCTGCGTGCACCATCTCCCCGGCTGTGTGTGTGTGTGCGTGTGCGTGTGCGCGCAGCGTCACACAGAAGCCACATTGAGGCTCCTACAATGAATCCCGTCTACTCGAACAACGGGTTCTGGGAGACACACGCGCGCACGCGCGCACCGTGCGCGCTGCCGCTGGCTGAAGAGAGGCTTTGTTGGCGCACTCACGACATACGCCGCTATCGCCGGACTCCGAGCAAAAAACGCCATGTCTTTATCGTTGCGTGGCTTTTGGAGCGCGACATGTTCCGTAAGCACGCGGACGACGCGTCTCCCGCGAGAGCAGCCGGACGCCGTGAATCCGGCGTGCAGGTCGCACAAAGAGGGACGGTCACCGGGAGGTTTACGGTTAGAACGTAAGCTGGCGTTCGTTGTTCGCGTGTCGCCCCGCTGTTCCCCTTCCGTTCGCATACACCTTACCAGGGGGCGACCCGCGGCTGGGTTCCTGTCCAACTTGAACTAAAAAGGCTCTGATGAGTCACTCGTGCAGCCGAAATGTCCGCAGGACCTCCGGGTGTCCAAACCGTCCCCGTTTCGCATCCTGCAGCGAGGTTCGCCTCGACGCTCGAGCCCGAGAAACTAAAACAGCGGGATCGGCGAGGGAGTTCGGTCGCGGCGTCGTTTGGGGAAAAGAGCCGAAGGAGGCGGGCGCGTTCCGGATGTGTTTCGGTCCCGCTGCGGGGGGTCGTCCCGGGGGAAGGAGCCCTCGGGCTCGCGTCTGTGCGGTAACGTGTCACCGGCCTGCTCGGTGTCTCCTCTGTCTGCGGCTCTGCGTCGCTTCCTCCCCGCAGCCTCTCGCCTTTCACTGCTTTTTATTTATTCATTAGTATTTTCTTCATTGTTTTTGTTTTTTTTAACGCGGGGACCTGAGATTCCGCGCGCCGGCATCCATACCTCGTGTCCCGGTGTGTCCGAAGCAGCGGCCCGTTATGATCCGTGGCCGAAACAGTCCATTGTCCTGCTGCTGATTCCTCCTGCGAGACAACAGACCGAGTGCCAGGCTCTCTGCTGCTCCTCCCTCTCTCCCTCCCTCCCCCTCCCATCCTTCTCCTCCATCCCTCTCTCGCTCCTCTGCTGCTCTTCTGCGTCCCTCCTTCCTCCTCCTCCTCCTTCTTCCACTTTACACCCTCTCACCTTTACCTTTGTCCCATCCCATTTTTTTTATTTGACTTCCTTATTATAGCCCCCCGTCTACCCTCATACCCTTTCACCCCCCATCAGGTGAATCATAAGTAGTCTCCCCCTCAATAGATGAAGATCAACATCTTGTTTTTTACTCTCCTTATGTAACACCTTTTCCACTTCCTCGCGCTTTCAGCTGTGTGGGGTAGTCTCTTTTGTGTGTGTGTGTGTGTGTGTGTGTGTGTGTGTGTGTGTGTGTGTGTGCGTGTGTGCGTGTAGCTGGCAGACTTCTTTTATAAAAACCCTTCTGCAGAACTTGGACTGTGAACGCAGCATTTCAGTCACAACGTGGCGACTCGGCGCCCCCTATCGGCCAGCTCAGGTACCACTAGAGCCCATCAGAGTACTGCTGGTACTGCAGGTGTTACTCTGGTTGACTGGTGCTGCTGTGGAGGGAGAAGTAAAATAATGTGCTAGAGGGTTGAGAGTACTTCGTCACAATACAATGCATTTTCAAGTAAAAGCTGCGACAATATATACAATAAATACTTTTAGTTAGTATTAAATGTAATACGTAAGCAAAACATTGTTCCCTGTGAACGACATCCTGTATTATATCAAATGTGGCTTTATTGAATAGTTGTTACCGACGCACTAATGCAGACAACAGCTCACTGTTGCTGTACAGTTGTCACTACGTTGTGTGCATTTGTGTAGTTTAGTCTAGTGGTACGTACAGGCCTCCAGGAGGCCCATGGATGAGGATAATAAAAATATAATTACATGAATTGTTCCTAATCGCACACCTTCTCTTTGTACTTTTAATACACACTACATCTGCCCTTTAACCCTCCATGTGTATGTATTGGCACTTGCTACTTCCTCATAACAGGGCACCTTGTATAGCAGCCCTGCAAAGGATTGTGGGTCAGAATGGCCAGAAAAGCATGCTGATTTGAATACTGTAAGTCCTGGTATTTTTTGGCACACTGCATTTGACATGTTGTGTACTGGTACATACTAAATCCTTTTTTGGCATACAAAGTAGTATAGTAGTATGAGTACAGCTAGTGTTGTGAATGTAAATTAAATATATGATAAATACATTGGTAAATATAGACACTTTTTCCCTCTTTAATTCCTTAAGTTTAAAATACATATTGACATTTTTTAATTCTTTTACTGATTATCCCGTTTTTAACGTCACATTGCAATGACTTGTGGGTAATTCCAATGGGCTAGTGAGTATCGAATGCTGTACTATCTCTCTAAAATGTAGTGAAGTAGTAAAGTTGCTGTGTAAAGTTGTATAAAGTGAGTAAATGTACTCATGTACCTTCCTCCTTCAAATTACATATTTATATGATTTTAACGTGTATGAAATGAAGCTAACATGACTATATTCAACTTTATTTCCAGACACCATATAAAAAGCAGCAAAGACAAATACAACAGAACTAAATACTAGAAAAGACATACAGACATTTGTTTCCAATGTTTCCAAAAACAAGAACATTGATTATCACTCTGTTGGATGAGTTAAGGCCTTTACGACTACATTTTGTGAATCACTTCATTTGTAAATACAATTCCTCAACACTGCATGACAGGTGGGAACATTACGAGTCATAACTTGCACCGTCTTGCGAGCTCGAGTTAAGACTCTAAAAGCATCAATAAAAAGTATTTTTTGGCCTGATCACATGATTTGCTGCAGAAACGTACATTTTTAAACAATAAGGACAAGTCTTCGTTTTAATTTGAAACCTGCTTTCATCGGAAACGCTGGTATCGTGTGTTTGTGTCCTGACGATGATTAGACTTTGCTGCCCTCCCGCGGTTGCTTCGTGGAACTGCAACACTGGTTTAAATTCATGCCAATACACGGTGAGTTTATTGATAATGTAACAATTAGAGATTCATCAAAGTAACTGATGCACATATGGACAGTCACGTGACTACTACCGAACACGGCGTGACGTGTAACGCGCTGCAGAGACGGTCTCAGCCGCAAAGCCGTTTAATGACGTCTTTCAACGGCTGAGAGTCGAACACGAAAACTAATCTATTTCCGGTGTCATTTCAAAGTAAAGTAACTACAATTTGTTAACAAGATCAGCATGCTGATTGCTCTTAAATGCAGATAAAGATCACATCTTACTACGATAACAATACTATTATACAATGCATTTATATTATATATTATTTATACGGTTTTGTGTTATGTCAAAAATAAAGCTAGTAAATAAAATAAGAGAAGCTGATCATGTGTTTTCATAACCTGTCCATGTATTAAAAGTAAAAAGCTGAAGATAAAAATGTTGTGCAGATGATTCAAAATTTTCCGTTTTTGAGTCAATCCTGTGTTTTGAAAAAAAAAAACGCTTTACACAAAACACAAAGATTCTACACATCTACACGAGGGTCACTTCAAATAGTTAATATTGCTAATTTGATATTTTGACTAAAGAAGGGCAAAAAGTACATCTTTTTGTGGGGAGAAAAACAACCTCCTGCTATGTTGCATAGCGGCGTTGGACATGTGTGATGGGGGACATGACATGTCACTCCTGGAGGTCAGCTGTTGGCTCATTTCTGGACGGTTAGACATGATTGCAGTGCTCATTGTAAAACAGGAGAATCCCACTAAATAAGCTTCAAGCTTCGTTACGCAAAAGAGAAAACTGTGTCAGAAGAATAAATTAAATGTTTATACGTTTTAACCCATCAGTCGTGGGCCCTGTTCCTCGTACGTGGCTAACTGAGTTAGCCGGATAATATTCAGGATGAGATGATGTAGATCAGGCTTTTCGGTTCCCTGAAGCAGGTTTGTCTGAATCACCATAGCAACACATCCAAAAACTTGAACCTGCTCCGGCACAGATTCATTTGAACCAGCTGGATTAGTTCATCACTCCCCCGGAATAAAGGGCAGCTCACCTCCTCATTGACAAACAAGCCAAATCAGTTAGATTAACGTTTAAAGAGACTTCTGAGATCCGTTATGACATCACGAGGACGTCCTGTACGAGCGCCATCGTTCCTGAAGACCACAAATTCATATTTTCTGCTCTTTGGAAAGGTCCCTCCTAACCTTCCTATTTAAAGAGCCCCCAACCTTGAGTATTGAAGATCTTCTCGAGTCGAAACGTGATGAACACCACATGTTGCAGCCGAGCATCCACTGTCTCACACTCACGCTGTCTCAATTTGATCTGGCTATTGGTTTAGTTGAACCACATACGAGGAACAAGGCCCTGATCTCAAATACCAAAAGGTCTTTATATATTTATATCCCTATTTTATTACATCATGTTTAATAAACACTAGGCGGGACTGATTTTCCAGTCTTTCCGTGCTCATAATAAGGCTCGTGTGTGGGCGGCATGTTGGTGCTGCTTCATAAGCACCCAGCGGCCTTTCTGTGTGCAGTCTGCATGTTCTCACATCTCTGTGGATTCTCTCCTGGTCCTCCAAATTAAAAAGATTACACTCACATCTCTGCTGAAATATATGCATTACATTAACAAAATGCTAAAATGACAACAGCTAAAAAATGTCTCTGGTTTTAAACAGTCACTTCGCTGACTTTTCTTTTGTCCAATCAGTGTCAGATAAGATAAAAGATAAACAAATATGGAATCCACCAAGATGTCCTGGTTGAATAAGCTTTAATTCACTCATACAGCCCCCCCCCACAGGGTGAAATACAGACGGGAGGCCGGTAAAAGCAGACACAAACAGAGCAGCGGGTCCTCTCGGTAGAAGCAGTGACGCGCAGTAAAACCGGAACACCCCCCCAACAAAACCCACAGCTCTCTGCCGTCGCCACGATAACCCTCACTGTGGCTTGAACTCTCCCATATGAATCCCAAAGTAGCAGTAGAAGTAGTAGAAGTAGTATAGTGTGAGCTAAACATCTATTCCTTCAGTCACTCACTCACCCCCCAGGAGAGCCGACCACCCAACTACTCATCATCACCCCTCCCCCCAAACGCCCCCGATGAGGGACAGCGCTCAGTCGCTGACGACGCGTCCCGCCCAGGTCTCGTGCTTGCTCCCCGGCTTGAGGTGGGTGATGGTCACCTCCACCGCCTGGACCTTCTGCTGCTTGGGAGGGATGCAGCAGATCTTGTAGCTCACCTCGTCGCCCTCCAACGGCACGTACTCGCCCTCGATGCTGGGAAGGAGGGGGGAGGGGGGGGTTAAAGGTTACAGGTTATGAAGCACAAACGTTTCATTGTGTGCTTGTACGGGTACGGCAAGTGGTCTTTTTGCCAGTTAAGCAGAGATGATCTGGTATTACCGGAGGGTCCCACTAGAGGGCGGCACAGAGATCAGGCTTACGTTATGTCACATTCTACTTATTGAAAGTAGATATGAGCTGAGCTTGTTTATTGCCGTGGTCAAAGTGTGTGTGTAAGTGTGCGCACACTGCTGTCTATGGGGTTTTAAGCCTGTAAAGCGCCGCAGTGAAGGTCATCAGATATTCTGCCGTCCTCCTACACACTCCTGCAGCTACTGTGTGTGCGTGTGTGTGTGTCCCTCTACTCCCACTCGGACCCTGACATTTATTGAGGTTAGTGAACTGTACAAATTGTTTTACTTTAGTAACGTTTTTATTCCCTCTATGCGTCTTATTTGTTCTTGTTGGATGCAGTTGGTAACCACTAGAATGACAATAAAAACCTCTTCAGCTCCACATTTAGGACGTTTCCTGGTGAGTTCTGTTGTCGCTGCACACCGACACTTACTCAGAGATGTGGACGAAGATGTCGGCGCCCCCGTCGGATGGCGTGATGAAGCCGTGGCCCTTGGAGCGGGAGAAGCATTTACACACGCCGGTAAACGCCGGACCTTCTGCCGCACGAGTCGATCTGCGGGGGAGGGCGGGGGGAGAGAGGGGGAGGGAGGAGGGAGACGGGTGAAGGTGAGAGAGGACACAAAGTGAGCGTTCCATCAACAGAGATCCCCGAGGCAAAAAAACAGAGAAGCAGACGTTCGGATGGCATACGTTGTGTGTGCGTGTGCACTCACGCCGAGTAGGTCCTGTTCCTGCGCGTGGGCAGCGGGCTGGGGACGAGGTAGCCTCTCATGGGGGACGGCGAGCGGTCTCTGTGTCTGCTGGCCGGAGGGTGCAGGGACTCTGACGGGGACAGAGCGTTACATGGTGACAAAGGACACACGGCACGTCAAGTCACCCGTAGAGTGATTGAGCATCAATGGGGGAAGAACTTACAGTATATTAGTAAAATAAAGTAATACAGAAAAATAATCCAGAAATCCTGCAAAGGGGCAGAAGTATTAGATGGCTACTAAATGGACTCAAAGTATAAAAGTACACGTGCTTGTTTCGTCCCTGTGATGCATCGGTTTGCACACAAATAGTGTGGTTTCGGTTTCACTTCTTATACAAAGTCGGGGAGATGAAGGAAGTTGTCAAAAACTATCAGACTTAATAAAAACACTAAAGAGCTGGATTCTGTCCCATAATGCAAGTTGATAACACCAAACGGTTTGATTACATTAGATACAAAAACCACACTCCTGTTTGGAACGTAGGCTTTCTACTAGAATGAAACTCCAGCTCAGACTGGTTTGTCCAGAGAATATTACATCGTCACAGGCTCAGTGGGAAACGGATCTCACGGTGTCTTCAAAATCAGCGCACTGCCCCTTTAAGTTGTGGTTCAGTGCATCTAGTCAACAGTCCATAGAAGAATGTGTCTTCACCTGGCGACACTGAGATCAGCGGTGGGGTCATGGGGCGTGACCCCTGGATGGGTGTGGCCTGAGATGACATGGCGATGGAGTCAAAAGGGGCGTCGGTCACTGAAGAAGACGTTAAGCACCTGGGGAGAGGAGGACGAGCAGATGTTATTCACCAACATTATTGCAACACACACACACGGTGACCCACTGGAGCCGTTCTCAGAACCCTGGTTACTGTGGCAACACTAATTAGAGCGGCCTGGCGCTGCCCCGGGGGGGAACAGTCCCCGCTTTCACCTCGGAGTGGGGCTTACGTCACCCGTCATGACAACAAACTATGCCGACCAATTAGGGGAAGGCAGGAGAGGAACAACGTCCATTGATGGACGTTTCGGTCACAGCTTTCTTTGTTCAAAGAGGGTGAGAAAAAAAAACACGCGGTGTGGGGAGAGAGGGGGGTGGTGTTAGGCAAATCTGATGAAAGGAGACAATGGCAGCAGGAACAGGTTAGTCCGCTCCGGGACGTCAGTACTTTACATGTTGTAGTTCTAAAAACAGGATTCAAACTATTTTTATTCTTCATTCAGTTCAAATTAAGCCGGATTGCTGTTTAACCCCAGTAAAGCCGACCCACGCTACGCTACAATGCGCTACGCTACGCTACAATGCGCTACGCTACGCTACAATGCGCTACGACACTCAGCGTTTCAGCTGGCGGGACTTAGCAAGGAGGGAATTGGCTTGAACGTTAACTTGCACACAATGAAATTGAAACAATGAAATTGAAGGAAAGCTGTTTCACAAGGATCAATCTTCTTAAGGTGAACTTCCTTCACTTCCCGCAGCTGACACATTAAACTCATCATCAAGCTCTGAGATTTGTTAGCTGGCTGATGATGAACGACAGCGACACAAACGTGTTTACCAGACTTGAGATTGGAGTTAAAGGAAGCTTCACAGAGCTGCAGTCTGCTGCGCGTCTGATCTCAACCTGATACACCAGAGGGACGACGACGTCACCGCCTCGCTGGACGGGATGCTTCTTGAGTGGGGGAGAGCAGCAGGGATCACTCACACTCACACACACACACACTTTGGGGATGTGAATCCCCACCATCCATCATGCATCTACTCAGACTCACAGTATTTGTTTAAAACCACTGAGGGGATCTGAACGAGCCTGGAAGTAGAAATCATCATCATCAAGGATGCAGAGAGCAAACAGCTGGTCTTCAGAGACGGGGGACGGAATGAGACGGAGGGAGGCACGAAAAACGAGACCAGCACAGGACAGACTTAGTCGAGTCTTAACGGTTTTTTGAAAAAAGGGGCCACAGGGACGGCCTGCTATGTTTTGGCGTTCAATGCCCACGGGGCTCTTTAAACAGGAAGGTCAGGACGGAGCTTTCCAAAGAGCAGGAAATGTGAATCCTTTGAATTCCACAGTTAAGTGGAACAGGCAATTCTTTGTTCTTTATTCCAACTTTGCAGGAACAGACACGTTTAAACGTTCTCCCACAGGGCTTACACACAAACTGTAGAGAAACCGAAACAAGCGCACCCATCGACTGTAGTGGTGTCAACAACAAACTGTGACGAGGAGGAGTTGTGATCATCTGTAAACACTTGCCTGTTATTGATCTCCTAAATGTGTACACACAGACTTCACACACGCAGACACACACCAATGGGTCCAAACCCACAGACAGACACATGAGCTCTCAGGCAAACACACATTGTGATGCCATTGTTGTGTGACCAGCGAGGCCTTTGCAGGCAGGTTTAGTTTCAGTTCGGATCCATTCATGTGGGAGCGGCGCTCGGCTTTGTAAAGGGCCGTCCTCCATGTTTCCAGATCACTGAGTGTGTGCACAGACACGTCTGCATTGTGACAGCATCTCTCTCATCTTCAACGGAAGATGTACTAAAAATGCATGAACCCCAAATCAAGCAGGCGGAATTGAAAAGCAAGTTTCCTTTAACAAGCGGCCAAAGACGTCCATCTTACCAACAGTAAGCGAACGCATCGCGTGTTACAAACGCTCTAAATGAGTCATTCAAGATCTCGACCCATATGAACCGTTTGTGTGAAACCAGATCCTGTGAAAAACATTTAATTCATCTTTCACAGCTCAAGCAGGAAGTCCTGATGGAAAGTGAGCACAGCGGAGAGGAGAGGAGAGGAGAGGATGGTAGGAAACTCATTATATTTGTTAATGTTGATATAAAGATATGGGAAAATGAATAAATCAAGACATTTGCATGATCTACAGCCCTGTGACTGAGATTCTCTCTTCCTGATTGTTTCCAGAGAGAGAACCAAAGCAAAGCACCATGAATGAAGCAGCTTCGGTTCCAGAGGCCTAAGATGCTTTGATATCAAAAAACTAAGCATCTTGTGCTTCTCATATGCTTCTGTTCTGGTCATTTCTTTGATTCAGAACTTTATATTTGCAACCGAATATCCGTATTAAACAGCTTCTGTGCTAAGCTGAGCGGAGACCAATAGCATGGCGTGTCCATCATCGCTCCCCCCCCCCCCCCCTCCAGCCTTTTAGAGTCTCTCTCCCCCGCTGTCTCGCTCCCACGTTCACTCGGCTCCCTCTGGCCTCCGGAGTGCACAGCGCAGAGGAAAGGTCGTCCAGGTCGAGATGACCAGAGCTCAACATGCACTGAGGCTCCTGCAATGATGCGTTTATGTTACCACCTCCTCCGGGTAACAGGTCTATAAACTCACACTACATTATTTTAACTGGTTAACTTGGCTTAACTACCGTCAGACTATTTAGCCCTGATACCAAATAAATACTTTTTTTTGCGATTTACAAATAGATGACCAACTTGAGTCGCTGTGACACATTAAAGTAGATATAATGAAAAGAAGGGCTGTGAGTCGTTGTGGCCTTTTGTTAAGCAGCTGCTGACGGTGGTTTGTCAACAGCTGCAGGCGGCGCATGTGCACAAGGAACGAGAGGATCTGCTTTAAACGCATTATACGCGTTAACCTGAGGCGCTAACTGCCCATTAAACACCGCCTGTGTGTGATAAATGTGATAAATACACGTGAGACCGAGACATCCTCATCCTAAAATTTGATGACTCACCGTCCGAAGTGCGTCAGTGCAGAATCCGTCCCATAGTTCTACCCGGCTCGCGCTTGTGACGGACACACATCATCATCTGTGTTCACGGTGAAAGGAGCTTCTCTAATCGTCACATTAGAACCAGCGAGGCGGTGGATGCATTCATACAGGCCCTGAGTGAAGAGTAGGTGTGGAGTTAAAAGCCCACATTTCTATCATAGTTTCTTCTCTAGTCAATAACCTTCGACGCCATCGAGACGACTTGAGACAAAAGCCAAAAGGGAGGAAAGCTCTTTGGCCTCCAAACCAGCTGAAGATCAGAATAGCCGCTAAGTAGCAGGTCCTCCTTTCATCCGCCGTGCTTTCATGGCGCTGCATATTACGACCTGCGATCGTTCTGTTTTTTTACACCAGCTCAAGGACCAGCGGGCACGGCGCTCTGCTGCAGGTGGAGTCTCCTGTTCCTCATTCCAATCCTCTCCTCGGGCGTCGTGACCCGGACTGACCGTCACCACTTCCTGGACACGGCAGGAAAAAGGCCGCCGCCTCATCCTGTCCAATCCCCAGAGGGGGAAATGATTCAGTTGCTGAGCTTCTTTTCGGTCCTGTACCGTTTTCTATGTATATTATATATGTATATTTCCTCCTGTTGCTGCCATTCTGGCCAAGTCTATTGTGTACTGGTTGTAAATCTACTTGATGGAGGGGTGTTGTGTTTGTCGTGTCCCTCGACCATTGGACAGATTGGATGGCGAAACTGGGGCGGAGAAAAGCGATTTCCTGGTCAAAGTGGCCACGCTGAGATAAGTGAATGTGATCACCAAAGGAAAGGAACAGGACGGAGAGAGAAGGGGCGTGAGGGGGGGGGGAGACGTGGGCCCATCATCTGTGACTCAGTGGGCCTGTTACAGGCGGCTCTCTTCTCCTCTGCGTCGTGTCGGCCCAGAATGAGACGAGACACTAATGATCTTACTGAACAACGGCTGAGCGGACGAGACGGAGCACCGAGGACATCAAAGAGTCGGAGCACATTTGAACGGTCGCTGATAGACGTCGCTAAATTTCAACATCTCCAAACAACCCTCCCAGCTGCTGAGGAGTTGTGGAAGCGATGCCCTTTGTTCTACATGGACTCGTGTCAAGTCAGGGCGACGTCTCACACAGTGAAGAACCGAGACGAGAGCAGCGGCAGTCTGACCCACGGCGAACAGTGTGTGAGCTCACGACGAGTCCTGGATGAGGACGAGCTCGAGGCCGAGGCAGTGGGGAGCACGAGTGGGAATTATGGGATGAAGTTATATGATAAAGACACCAACTGAAATCTATGGTATCAAGCAACATCCGCCACCGTTTTTTCCTCGCTGCCATCGGCTAGAATGAGCAACAGCTGCAGCTGCAGAACCTCGCATTGGTGCGCGTTTGAAAGATATGGCACATGGTCTCACTGTAAGAATTAAAGTATATAACTATATATATTACTCCAAAATAGAGGCTACTCCTAAGCAAAGTTATTTAAACGTTAAAGGATTCGTTTCCCGTCAATTAAAAATCAACCAAAATGTACGAGCGACGCCAGCCAACACAATCACACGGCATCAGAAAAAGAATTAGCAGGAGCTAAATTAAAACTATAAAAAGGGCACACAGACATTGGCACTTTGGGGCTACTGTAGCGCGAGCAGCCTTTCTGTCAGCGCGCCTGTGCGTAAAGCGTTGAAGTGGGCTGTGGTGTTTGTTGCGCTCGACAAGAGCTTTTGTCGGAAAAAATGCGTAAATATGAGCGCTTATACAAGCCGTCACTGGTGGACTACAAGGACGCGGATGGCCTCCGATTCATGGAGGGAGATCTCCACAAACGTCGGAGTAAATAAACAAACCAACGACTTCCACACGTCCTCGACAAAAAACGTCACTCCACCTGTTGTTCTGGAGGTGAATTGGTCTGCAACACACGCAAGAGCTTTAGAACCATGAATTGAAACGAGTGCGTCGCCACGACGGTGCGTAAAGACGCAGACGGCGGCCTTCAATGCGCAGCTCCCTGCAAACAGAGGGCTGCAGGATTCAGTCTTTAATAAAACAATACGGTACGAGAGGCTGTTTATCGTCTAATAATGTAACAGGTCGGACGTTGTAAGGTAACTGTTACATTACTGAAGATAAAGCACTGCCTCAAGTACCTTATTGCTTTTATAATACGGTTACGATTAGTAAGTAAATAGCTTCCTTTCAGCCCAAAATAGTTGGAGCCACCAAACGTTGTGTATCTCATTTCAGTGGTCCAGAGAAAAAACAGCCCCTGTACGTGCACGTAAACAGCGTCCGGTCCCGCAGCATCTCATTCATTCACATCGCTCATGACGTCCACCTTAATTGTCCGGTTGCGAAAGCTCGCAATGCCTGAAGTCGATCATTTGTGAGAATTCCGGGGGGGGTTTTCGGCGATCGCCACCGAGCTAAAAGTTAAAATGTGCGCAAAATCTAACCTGCTACTTTGAGTGCGCATAAAACATTTGACAAGATCGAGTAGAAAGGGATCTGATCCAATGCGATTTTTTTAATTCATTGGCATATAATAAGAGATAAATAATAAACCTAGGATCAAAACTGGGGAAACTATTTCTCCCTGGGCCTTTAAATTCCAGCGTGTTGTCTCTGTTTAGTGAAAAGCTGCTTGCTCTCCTCACAGAGAACGTTCTCTCGCTGCATAATCAGCCAGCCAACCAGTTGCACACAGCCTCAAATAGTCCTGTTGGGGTTTTATATTAGCTGGTTTCTTGTGTGCATGCAAACTAAAAACAGGCAGGGTCAAGTCAGCCATGGCGCTCAACGCCGTCGCTGTCGCCCGTTTCCATGGCGGCGATTCCTCTCCATGCAGAGGAGGAATACGACCTTGTTCGGCGGCGATGAACAACGGTTTGACAAAGCAGACGAGCCGCTACAACGTGACTCACTCACTTTTATCTTCCTGCGCCATTGACAAGCAGTCCCGTTCTCATGGACAATCCAATAGAACTACATGTTTTTGACCAAAAACCTCGATATTAATATTGTCAGATTTGTAATACTCGTTGTCTACTAGTGAACACAGTGAGCAAAGGCAAGTATTTGAGCAGCTGGAACAGACTAGAAGGTTCAGAAAATAATAATATTTACTGTAATGTAGCCCAAGCACAAGGAAAAGACGACACTTGAGACATTACAATAATACAGGCCAAGTCAAAGATGATATCCAGTGTCAAATCACCATATCCATATATTGTCACGCAATGTTATATTGACACACGTCGGAGCAAATTTCAAAGGTCACTGGAATATCAAACACGTGATTTCTCATCGTTTACTTTAAATCTTATTACAGCATACAAACATATTTGAGCCCTTGAGCGGTTTGAAGAAGGCCGCGAATCTCCGATTCAGTAGCTCTCTCTGTCATTATCATGGCTTTGCTGCCCTGTGGGGGGTTGATGATTGCAGCAGATCTTATTGCACAACCACATTTAAGGCCTTCACACCTTCCCGGGTTGTAAAAAGCCACGGCCATAAAACACATGATACGTTAGGACGTTGCATTGGCAGATTGTGTGCCTTTGGCCTTGTGACAACGCCAGAAGATCTTATGTTTGTTTTTGTTCGGTGCCAAGTGGGCTAAATGGAGAAAAAAAAAAACGCTCAATAGTTTACTATCTGAATCCTCGGTTTGTCCTCGTTTGGTGAAATTGGACCTTAGTCCCACATCGATACCGCAGAGTCAACGTAAGAGGGTTAGAGTGGAGTTTGTAGTGTGCTCCAGAGATAAGTGCAGACACAAAGAACACTCAAAATGTAGACTAAATCACTGGATTTGTTTTTGGAGCGGCCCAATGAGCGCAGGGCCCAAAGGAAATGTGGGAGCCGCTCACAGCCGGGGAAAAGAAATGAATGGAACTAAATGCGGATGGATTCTGAAACCGCTCCAGTATTTAAGTATGTTGAGTTTTATGTTTACAACCTAATACCAAAGTATTCGACGGATTTGTATATTGCATACACAATGCACACTGAATCGGAGCACAATCATGCCCGTTATACCCAGCATGCATATGCAGAATAAGGACAGTTTTTACTCATTACGTCAAAAGGGCAACAACCAAATACAATGATTGTGCATGATAACTTAAATGGTCAACAAAACCCTTTCCGTCACCGAGCACCGAGTTTTCTGTGTGAAGAGGGGGAACAGATAATGAATAAATGCCATCTCAGCTTGTTCTTTTGCAACGAGTCACCCGGTGCAGCCTGAGTGGAAAGTGTCCCCGTAAGCCTGATGGCATTCAGAGTCGGTCTGCAGATCACACGAGCCACAGGGGCACCTACAACTTTCACAGCCACATCCTGCCTGCAACTGTGTCATGACCATCCCCCTCTGTTCCAGAGAGGTCTGGACCCACACACACACACACACACACACACACACACACACACACACACACACACAGTCCCTTTACCGCCACATCGGCTGACGTGTTTGTTGTTTTGTTTCAACCAACAACAGGTCTGTACCAGGACTCAAAAACAAGGGTTCTTTCGCTCCACTTATGCGCCCCTGGTTGGTTAACGCGCACGCGCACTCAAACCTTTCCCACGTACAATGAGCCGCCGCGAGACGCCGCAGCATCCTGCGCCTCTTCATTGGGTGGAAGGGAGGGTTGAGATGGAAGAAAACACCTCGTTAAGTGTTTGCAGGAAAGAGCCGCGCACACTTGCGCTCTTTCTGTTGTTGCTCGGGCCTGTTGCCCCCTCCCCCTACCTCCCACCCCCCTTTCCCTCCCTTCCAAAGGAAAGCGCCCAAAACCAGAGAAGCAGCGCTGTCCGTGATGGAAAAGGAGGCGCGTGGAACTCACCGACTTGAGCGCCAATAGGAAGTTGGGAGGAGAACGCAAGTGAGAACCTGGACCGCAACCCTAAATGTCCACTTTCATCACCAAACACCAAGTTTGACATTCTGTAAAGTTAATTGTTTAGTGAAATAGACGTTATCCTTAAAGCCCAGCAGCTCACTTAACGTTAGCTTTTGAATTAACACTTTATGACCGCGCAACATAACTGCTGATGTGATTTATTACCGGGACGAAGTGCCTCACTCACCCGGTTCCCTTCAACAACTCGCCGGTGAAACGCGTCCGACGAGACAAAAAGAAAACTTTGTGTGGCTTTTGGCTTTTGCCGTCTGGTTTGTTGCGCTGAGACTCGTCCGGAGTGAAGTGCCGCGTGCCGCAGTCAAAGCAGCGGGCTGCCTTTCAGTGGGCGTGGCTTCCTCTTCTTCTTCGTTACTTTCAATGGCAGTCGACAAACATCGTTCAGGCGCATTACCGCCACCAGCTAATGTGGAGTGTTGACTGAGGACACCCTCTCTGGTAGGACAATCAAAACAATGGGAATAATAACAATTAACGAGACAAAAATAATGAATGAAAAGTCTATATGACAAATATAGTCTAGAAGAGGTTTCCAACATTTGTCACAAGAAACTTTTCTTTAGCAGATTAATTATATTTTCTATATTCTATCACTGTTTGTCCATTTTTCAAAAGGTCTCTTGCTGACTTATGTGTCCGGCCCAGTATGACCATTCCTTCTTTTAAAAAAGAAAAGAAGACATCTTTCTCCTGCCTTTACAATAATTCTGCCATATCCCTTCTCCCCAAATGACCATTTTATCTTTGGACTTTCTTATATTTACATAAAAATTATCACTCCAACTCTTCAACACACTTTTTGCCTCTTTTTCCACCTTCTAATCCCCATTGACTTCATCATGAGCAGGGACTCATGTCTACTTCTGGAATGCAACATTTCAAACTCATAAAATTGCACATGAGTATGATGATATTAGTCTACTTTCTCTGGCCTGATGCCCTCCATATGCAGGTAATAACTATGGGCATCATCTCACAAGCTAACACAGATTGTTCATCACCAAGAAAATGGTAAAATGGACCACACGTAAAGCCCTTTTCTAGCGCTATACAAGTGGTCCATTTCGAGCACTCAAAGCGCTTTAACAGTTTGTGTCATCATTCGGGTGTACATGCATACAGCGGATGCTGGTGTACATGTTCCCTGGAGGAAGCCCCCGGATCTTGTAGGGTTCTGAACTTCTGATCAAGGAACTATACTGTTACCCTCGGTAATCTGAGACGAGAGGTCGTAAAAAGTCAACGACTTTACAAAGTGAAATAAAGTATGAGTAGTATAATAATATTTCTCAAAATAGAGAAGTCCCCTGGTCCAGTCCACATTCAAGCCCAGCTCCTCCCCCATGAATTCCTTTCTGCTCCAAGGCATCACATGACTCCCTCCTGGCTCCATCTCATGGTCGAATCTGAGATCCCTCACTGACCTGATCAATCCCTGTTCACTTAATACTACAGTACATTCAATGATCACACCTTTGGCTAAAAGCTTCTTCATGTGAACAACATCACATTTTACCCATTGTGTTTAACTCAGTTCTATATGGTCCAAAATCGGAATGTTTATCTCGCAGGGCTTTGTACATCCTTTGCTCATTTACTACCTGACAGGAGAAAAAAAAACTTTTTGGGGATAAAATTGGGAGGATTCCATAAAGGACGGAGATTAGCTCCCGTCTCCAGGTTTTAACATTACATTGTGACAGGATGTTAATGTGTACAGTAATTATATGACTTGTTTTATTCATATTGCATTCACTTGCATTCATGGTAGAGTAACGAAATCTATTCCCACTTACTTGATAGTTTTTTTTTACTACTTGCATTGTTCTGTACGTTATAACATTTTCTGAGATTGTTTTTAGTTTTTTAAAAGCCATATTCCCTTTTCTGTATTTCCTCACCGCACTCATCAAATACCACGTGAAACCAACACCCGCCTCTTTGTACCGGACCTCCTCACATTTGTCCGATTGGCGGCGCCAGTTACTATCGCACCTCCCACCTTCTCATTACATATTTTTTATGTCCTATTCTCTGGCTTTTTATTCGTGGTTTCCGCATGTTGGCATCTTGGGCAAGACTCTTAACCCCAACGTGGCTCCCGTTGCTGACGGCAGGTGTCACTGTGTATGAACGGGTGAAAGATGACACGTAGCCTTAAAGTGCTTTGAGTACATTCCGTTTGCCATGGAATGCCATTGTTGTTTTGTAAACTCTTCTTGAACGGACATCCCATGAATATTGGGACTGCTATTTAACTCTTCTCACATCTCCCCTTTGAATGTGCTGTCTGAGTCTGTCACAAGTTGTTCAGTTGACTGAAGAGACCCCCCCACCCCCCACATCCACCTCCACCTCTACCCTCCCTCTGTGCTGCATTTGCATCTGCAAATGATTCATCCACGTTGACGCACCTCACGGCCACCATAAGCCTCTCTACTATGCGCACACACGTCGCACATCTGCTGAGGCGGCCAGATGTGACTGCAGGAAGGAGACCGCTGGGGTCACTGGCATCCCACAAATGAAGGAAGCAGGACAACGAATGGACCACAAATGGACTTGAACGGACAGGAAGGACGACAAGTTGATGCCGTCTAGTCCTGTTTCTGTAACACCGGGCTGGTCGTACGAAATGTACCCGCACGAGTCTAATGTGTGTTTTATATTTGTACAGAATACCAGTCAAATGCGAAGAGAAACGTGTGCGGGCAAAGAGTTAGGAAAGCTTTAGATCAGGGGTCTTCAGCGTTTTTCAGGCCAAAGACCCCCAAACCCGATGGGGAGATGGAGCAGGGACCCCCTACTCTACGGAGTTTGGTCCGCCGTCTTTTATTTCTGAGCGTCCCTCTTTAGAAGTGAGCACACATGGATCTGATTGGCTGGTGCCTGTGCCGCCTCAAAGGAGCTGTGAATGAACCGGTGGGAAGATGAATGTCGCGTGTGTTGTGGACCGAAAAAAAACATTTTTCCCCAAAATTTTTTTTTTGGCATAAAATTTGTGGTTTTCGTGTATAGGTGTATTAAAGGAAAAAATTTCAATTTGTGTTTCGAAAAAAAAAAAATAAATAAATTGGGCCCCCCCCCCCCCCCCCCCCCCCCGCAGTACCTCCGCGGACCCCCTGGGGGTCGTGGACACCTTGTTGAAGACCTCTGCCAAACAACATTTTGATGGCGTACCATCATTGAACGTCTCGGTCTTCTGACATCCGATTACAAATTACAGGAAAAGGACGATCCAGTCTGAATTTTTAGGATTTTGCTGTGGTTGTCTACCAAATCTACAAAAAACATTCATATTTACCACAGAGACTTTTATTTTATTTCCTTTTTTAAAGATCAGTTTGAATTAGTTTCTTTGGGGTATTAAATATCTCAAACTGAAGGACAAGCCAAAATACGGCGCAGTGTTTTGTTTCCCTGAGGCATCTTAACGTGGGAAGTTGAGGCAGCACAAAGTTTTATGAAAAAGTCCTTTTTCCAAATTACCCTCAACAAAAGCATCACAAAACGTACAATTTAGAGATCAAGAAACAAACTGGTAGTGTGTAGGAACCAAAACCCACCGTGGAACCGGTGACACTCACAACATGTGTGTGGGTGTGTGTTATACTGTGTGGAATTATGACCACCAAACGAGGGCCCGTTCACACCAGCAGTGGGCATGAACGTCAACAAGGCGCAGGGTTATGACATAATGAAAATGTAGAAAATAATGACAGGGGTGATCAAATACAGCAGGAAAGGTCACACCAAAATTAAATTAAATGAAATAAATTTATTGCATACACAATGTTTGAAATGTACTTTTGAGTTCCCTTCCAAAGGCTGGCTGACTTGTTCAACCTTCACCTCTGTTACAACCAACGCACGTTTCTGTACACGGACACCTTTACCCTTTTCAGTGCTGCGTCCTGTATCAAATGGATACGCTGACGCGATAGAATTGAGGAACCACCCAGCGAGTCACTGACACACAGTCAACATGTCGGGTACTGAATTCAGACCCCGTATGCATCAGTAGTAGTGTGTGACGTGTGTGTTGGGGGAACGTTACTTAACTGGTCTCATGTCCACTGCACGGCCGTTACATTAAAAATCTGGCCAAAGTGACCATTTCTTTACGTTAGCAGCAATCTTAAGCCCCGAGGCAGACGGATGAGGGCTGCAGCCATTTAAAACCTCTAAGATAAGGACCCAGCCGCCGGGACCGACTACACACGGGCAACATTGGGAAACAATGTGGAAAGGCTCTGGTGTTTTCATGCAGACTTCCACACAGAACTGCACGGTGTGCGTGTGTGTGTGTGTGTGTGTACACTTGGCCCTGCAGTTAATAATGACAGATGCTACAACATGTTCATATGTTTCTCCGGCAAAATGGGAGCTCCTTTTTGTGGCTAAAAGATTGCGAGCAAATATATACGACCTTATCTACATTGTGTCGCAAAGTTCCCTGTGTATAGTTTGCTTTATTCTACCCCTCTAGCCTGCGAGCGCAGCTAGATTCAAGTACCAATTCAATCCAAGGTGTTCTCCAATCTCTACTTTACAAAGTGGAATTGAATCTAGATTCACTTTACACTCAAAAAAGGGGTGAGGGGGGTTTATCTTTGAACTGGGCCCAGCGACAGCGTAGAACAGACATACATAGAGATACATTTATATATATATATATATATTAGCTCAGTATATATAATATACAAACAGTGTACATAGTCTCTGACAGTGGTGGACAGGAGGGGAGGAGACAGAACGATAGGCAGGTTTGATCCTTTAGTCTCTGTCGGGTTCCCAGTGTGTGTGTGTGTGTGTGTGAGTGTGAGAGAGTGTGAGAGTGTGAGTTACACCCTATTCACACCAAACCATGACCTGGGTCCTCCGCTCTATTCCGCTGCTCGGGGCGAGAGCGAGTCCGACGCGCTCTGCTTTGGCGTACACAAGTATGCAGGTCACTTTAGTATCTATGGGGTAGTGTCGTAGTATATATGTATTGAATCATTTGACTAGATCTGTCAGTGTAAAATAAGCATTAAGACGATCCTATTTAGCAGACGTGGGAACTGTGACAGACGTATTGGAAACCGGGAGTGACACTGTGCGATGTGGGCGGTCTGACGCAGGCTGAACCCCGGTCCTGTGACAAACACAGGGTGTGGAGCGCCGTTAAGAGGATGTGGGTGTACATCTACGTGTGTACAGGGGAAGACTGATGGTGAAGCGGTTGCACTCCTGCAAGAAGAAAAACAGAAAGACACAAGAGAGACATGGAAGAGAGACGTGGAAATCAAACATCCAATAAAAGCGAGTGAGAAAGTCCGGCCTGTTAGCTACTAAAGTCTGCTCTTGTGATTTCCCCACGACTCCCACCCACCACGTGGCCGTCACATTGTTCTGCTGTACTGGATGCCGGTCTTGGAGGCGATGTTGGACCAGGGCAGCAGGGAGCGCAGCAGCGACTGGGCCTGCCGGTACAGCCTCTGAGGGATGGAGCAGGGGCTCAGGCTGGCCAGGGCGGAACCGATGTGCTGGATATAGTCAGTGGGACAGGAAGTTAAAGAAAATGGGAACGATTTCTCGAAAAGTCCAACCTGACAGCTTCGCCTAACTGACATGTACTTAAATTTCTTTCCTAATATATATTTGTAGTGCTATGACAGCAACTGGATCATCCACGTTTTTGTTTAAAAAATACACTTTACAGGATTACATTTGAACGCATCATGATCGTGTTATAATTAAACTTCTCCCAATTCAATATAGTGTTCGTATGTATGTACAGTATATATACACACACACATGTAATAGGTGAGCAAGTGTCTCCTCGTTCCCGCTCCACAAAAAGGATATAATATGGTCCAGGGCGGATGACCCCCGTTGATGTAGAGCACGTATGTGAAGCCATCTTTGAGGACGCCTCGTATGGAGTAGTAGTACGGCAGGTAGTGGTGCTGCCTGAAGTCCCTGTTCTCGTAGAAGTAGATGGCGGTGTTGTTGGTGGTGAGGACGTGCAGGTAGATCGCCTTGCAGTGGTCCTGGGCCGTGGTTGAGATGTGCTCCTTCAGACTGTCCAGCAGTAGGGAGCCTGGATTGGTAGAAAGGAAAGTGAGCGCAATCATAATCAATTAAAAATATGTTTGACATGAACCGGTCTTTGCTACAAGTATATGTAGCTACAGGAAATCCAAAAGTTTGGATTAATTTAGTAATTATGCGTTTTGAACAAATACCAACTCAAGCCTGGCGCATGAGTCTGCATCGACGCACTCGTTTCAATTCATGGTTCTAAAGTCTTGCGTGTGTTGCAGAGCAATTCACCTCCAGAACAACAGGCGGAGTAACGTGTTTTTATTGAAGACGACCTAGAGAGTCACGTCTATTTATTCATTTGTTTATTTATTCATCATAGACTTTATTGCCCCGTGCATCGCCACTACTGATTTTCATTGCGGACACATTTGTCCCGTATTTTCCTCCTCAACCTCAACTGTTCCCCTCGACCGGCAAACCGACGTTTGTGGAGATCTCCCTCCGTGAATCAGAGGCCGTCCGCGCGTCCTTATAGTTCGCTAATGACGGCTTGTGTAAGCGGTCATATTTACGCATTCCTTCCGACAAAATCTGCTCCGTTCTCTCGTAAACATTCTTCGTTTTAATAATGGCGGTATCGGGCTATTAAACCGGAAATGTGAGACTCCGTAAAGGACGTAGTTAGCGGACCAATCGCAGCCTGGTGCGCTGCGGGAGGCTTGCGTAGCTTTCGACGCAAGCCTAGAAAAATGGGTCGACACACGCAAGGGGGTCTTGCGTCTGCGTTTCCTTGCGTCGCTCTGAAAACGCAGAAGCATAAACTAGGCTTCAGACCTCCATGGCCAACGCCCCCTAGAGCAGCTTGTGCATCCAAACATATGAATGCTGCATCCACCCGACCAACGTAGTTTCAAACGTATCTCAATGCAGCATATTGAAGCAGATGAGTGAGGCAGAACACGAGGGAGATGCAAATCTCTAAACTGTATAACTACAGGCCGTGACAGGGACAAGCCTACAATCACAGACAACACTGCATGCGCTTTGTTCAGCTGATGTGAGCGGAGTGGATGTAGAGCTGATAGCGTCGATACATTGAAACACATACATCATTGTCTTGACACGACCTGAACGTTGTTCTTCCTGCCTTCTATTTGTTAACATTTTGACAAACGGGTGCTATTAAAAGTGTCCAGAATGAGCCGTTAGCAGCTCCTGTTGAACTGCACCAGTGGATGTAAATTAAAATGTCATGAAGAAAATATAAAAAAGGATCCTCAGGCACGTCTATTTTTCTATGATTTCTGAGCGGCTTCAATGACGAGGATAAGTCTCTCTGTAAATAAGCCAGATTCTCAATAAGAACTCGAAGCTGCTGTGGGTTTCAACAGGTGTGCCGTCCTGTGGGGGATGTCGTACAGGCGTGAAAAGCAATATCCCCCAAAGTGAGTGTGAGTGTGTGTGTGAGAGCCGGCGGGGAAAGGTACCGATGCCGTGTTTCCTGAACTCTTTGACTACTCCGAGGCTCAGGATGTAGGCTACTTGTGTGTCCACAGGGAAACTGGAGGCCAGGATGTCTCCATCCTAACACACACACACACAAGAAACAGAGAAATAAGCAGATTAAGAGAAACATCTCCCATGTTCCCTTACATCTAGATTTCTTGATGCAATTGAAATAATCTGAATAAATTACGCCAGTAAACAAACAAAGAAACCACCCAACCAACATGTTACCGCTTGTTTATACTGAGGAATAACTGCTTTACTTAATTTGAGCATTGCATAAAGGGATACATGTATGCAAGTCATGTCAGTCTTTAGAAACTTATCTACAAGATAGAGGAACAACATGTGTGTAAAGGGGAACAGAGAGTGGCTTCGATAATGAAATAAAGAAATTGGGTAAGAGACACAATTTCAGTTTTGTTATTAAGTCTCCCTCTGAATACGCTGTCTATGCTCCCTCATCAGCACATCTTTAATATTGTTCCAGACTCAGAGATCAAGAAAATGCAAAGGAAGAATCAAGGTAAACTCTTTTATGAGGTTTATGATAACTTGTGGCCTAAATTGAGAGGAACAGTTATCTGATATGAGACCAATGGAACATGAATACCTGTATTTCATTAATGCATCGGCAGGTATGTGATCATTTCAGGACACAAGTCCTCGAGCAGCTTGTACATCCAAACACATGAATGCTGCACCCACCCGACCAATGTAGTTTCAAACGTATCTCAATGCAGCATAATGAAGCAGATGAGTGAGGCAGAACACGAGGGAGATGCAAATCTCTAAACTGTATAACCACAAGTGATTCATTTTCCCTCCGATATATGTTCCTAAAACATTCTTTTGTCAAGAGTACAGTACGGTTTTTTAAATCAAGGTTGATTTTACTGATTGTATTAAGGCTAATAAAGGCATTAATCAGGTTGTGCAGAACAAACAGATATAATAAGTGGACACCCATTGTTTGTGGACCAGTTATCGAGCAGCGTGTTTGGTGATTTCGCAATAGAACGCCATCTTGCAGAACGACGGACACCCATTTTGTTTTGTTTTCATATTTGCAGTGCAGAGCAGGACTATAAACATGTTGGATGCAGTTATAGTAACGGCAGCACCTGTATCACAATAACCTCTATTTGGGAGGGGGGGGTGACATATGTGCCTTAAGAACTTTACTACCACCACATATTTCAGCCATTTTGCATAGTATGATGGTCAAAAGCTTTATAGTTAGCGGACACTAGATATGTGGGACATTTACATATACGCCAATTCAGATGAGGACACAATGACTATGATAGTGAAACGTTCTTTCCTTAAACTCCCTCATTGTAGATGATAACCCGACGATCCCTTATTTTATCAACCTTGTGTAATGACGCAGTCCAACTCAGTCAGGGGGCATCGGGTTGATCTCGTTGGCAGTCTTTAAAACAGATTCAGATCTAAAGGACAGACTGAAGTGACCACACACTCAGGGACAGCGTTCCCTTCCTACGGAGCACATCTTCAAAGCGGTGTACCTCTTTGTGTACTTTGGTCCGGCCTTTGATCTCGGCCACAATCATTCCCACGATGCCTCCTCTGAAGGTGGCAGCGAGGGAGAAGAACTTCTTGTTGGAGGTGATGTCCTGATACCATGAGTCTGGGTACCTGCAGGCAAAGGTCAGATTTAGCCTTTGAGCACAGGTATGTGTTGGAGTCTGTGGCCCAGTCCTGACAAGGGTTGGCAAATAATAGGATCCTTTAATGGGCTTTAACGGCTGCCGTGTAACCGTCACTGGATTGGTATCAAGTGCATAAGCGCAAGTTACGCCAGTAACAGTAACTTTACGTACTTTGAGCATTGCATAAAGAAATACATGTATGCAGGATGACGGTCATCAAAAGCTTATCTACATGATACAGAAGCTAACCGGCTTGACTTTAATTATCATAGTTTACACAAAAGAGGAACTTTGAGTGAGCTCTGACCACTGGGTGTGTAAAGGGAAACAGAGGGTGGCTTCAATAATAAAATGAAGAAATTGGGTAAGAGAGTGATACATGGTTTTTGTACAACAAAACTAAATGCAAATAGTCTTGCAGAGATAAATTAAGTTAAACACCACTTAGAGTACAGTTTAGCACGTCCACACAAAACGCAAATATAAGTATTTTTATTTTAAGTTTAATTCTGACACATTACAATAAACGCCATTTAATCAACTCCCCAACAGATCTGTAATTTCACTCCCTCCATATTAGTGAGGGCAGAGCATGTGAAAAGGATCCGTTTATTAGTCTATCTGGAATATTATTATTATTATTGTGCCAATTCTGACACACGAAAACTACTACTGTGTTTTCCACATCTCCAATGGGCAGCATTGTGAATAAAGTGCAATCAATAGTCATGCCATATTTATAATGTGTGGCCAGCGGTGCAGTGAATAGATGCACGTCACACCTGAAAGAAAGTTAGATTTATGCTGTTTGTTCATCCCAAAGAAGACAAACAACAAACATAATGCGTCAAACTCCAACAACTCGTGTTGTAATGGTGTAACGCACACTGAGTGGGACTCTTACTCGATTGGGAACCAATCACCGCAGAGCAGCTTGACATTCTCTATGTCATCGTGGCAGAGGAAGCGGAGCTGGACTTCACTGAGAGCTGTGGGAGACACCAAGTCACTCATTCACACCTGCAGGGACGACACACAGCAAAGAAAGGTATGTCAGTGGTTGTTTTGATATTCCAATTTACTTTCGTTCATCAAGACTTTAACCCAATTTAAGTCCTCCGTTCGTTAGTGAGGAAGGCAATAAAAATCTATGCTTCTTTAAGAGTTCAAAGTAACGCAAGTGGATTGATTGAAACTCAAATGATCATTTTGGGGGTAAAGTATTCCTTTGAAAACCCCGTCCCGGGTTTTGTGACAGATTATTTTCTTACATGTCAAACATGATACCTGGTACCGTGTCATTTTCAATGTGCTGCAGGTACGTGCACAGACATTTTAGGGGGCAGGTGCTCAAACCAAAAAAAAAGGGCACCCATCGGCAAAATGATTTATGAAATTAAAAATAATAAATAAATAAAAACACAGAATATTTTCATCTTATATATTTTTTTAACTATCTCAAATTATCAAATTGAATAAATAACAAAATAATCAAAAATATTTCAACTTAAAAGTTATCAAAACTCTGCTCTGAGTAAACTAAAGGAGCTTTACAGGAGCTTCCTCCTTGGTGCCATCTCTTGGAAGATGTTTACCGTTTTCTTTTACGGTTGAAACATAAGCAGCATTAAAATAATATACCACACTATACCACACCACACTGTCATGTAACTCAACTGTATTCCAATAATTGTATGTTAAACAAAAGTGAAATTGTCTAATTTTTGAACAGTAAAACAAACTTTTAATTCTCTCTCGTCTGCCTGCATCTCTCTCTCGCTTCATTAAAATGACAAACGTCAGTAAACAGCTAGACAAGTTTTTTGTTTGTTTATTGTTTTAGGACCAGTTGCGACGTAATGTTTTCAGCAGCGCATGTTGTGGTTAATTTATCACCAAACACCGTCATTACCTGCTGCAGCCGTTTGGCGCTCAGCACTGCACGAGCGCCAAGTAGTGATGGGAAGTTCGGATCATTTTACCGACTCGGTTCTTTGAATCTTGTTCAGTAAAATGAACGAATCATTGGCCTGATGCTAGCGAGGATGGATGGGGACGTTAGCCCGATGCTAGTGTGGATCAGTGCTGAGCCTATGCAGGTCACGTGAAAAATGATCTAAAGATCTGTATCCTGAATCGTTCACCTCCCGACCGTGTCTTCGGGTCAATGTTTCGTTCATCGTTCATTTTTCACGTGACCTGCATAGGCTCAGCACTGGTAGCGAGTAGATCAATGATTCGTTCATCGTTCATTTTTCTACCCCGAGACTCAAGCGGGAATGTTGCTTCCAACCACAGTGACAGAAACCCACCGGGACTTCGGTGCTGTGGGGATTTAATTCGAAGCGACGGAAGGATCGTTCGCGGCTCAAGAGGTCCACGAAGCCTCAAGTAGAAACTCTGGAAAACTTTTGATTAACGTCTCCGATGCTCGTCTGTGTTCGCGTGAAGTGAGGCGGCCCCTGCAGACGTCCAACTATGGTTTGTAGATTGTGTGCGGGATTCTCCGCACAGAGTGTTGGCACGTTGAGGACTTTGTGCGAGGGCTGCCACTAGTTGCGGCTTAATTAAGTTGGCGACGGCAGGTCGCCGCGCAGTGGCTGCGTGAAGCCTTCTCGTGCAGACAGTGTGGTGATGTTTAACGCCGTGTCTTTGGGTCAATGTTTCGTTCATCTGCAACAGAGTAGATCAACGATTCGTTTATCGTTCATTTTTCACGTGGCCACGAGAAAATGAACAAATCTTTTTTTGAGAGGACTCGTTAAGTCTCGAGTCCTTCACAAACGACACATCACTAGCGCCAAGTGTGGGTGGGGGGGGGCTTGTGAGCGCCGCTGAACACCTTGGGTTGAAATTCTCGCAATAGCTCAAAAAAATGCAGCGTCAGATATCAAAATTGTGGGGAATTGATGACAAAGAGATTCATTTTATTCTTAAATATTGATGAATGAAGAAAAAATTGGCTCCAGCAGAAGGGGCCTTTTTCTCATCCAGGGCAAAAGGCAGGTGCTTGAGCACCTACAAGAAGCGGGTTTAGTGGAAACTCAGAGTTGGTTAACCCTGAAATGAGGGAATCTCTGGCTTGTCTGTTTCACAAAGGGTCGGTCACCATGGTAACTGAGCCTGTGAACCTCACCTGGTCGGGAGCAGGTTTCTTTTCAATAGTTTTCTTTCAGTCTCCGCTCTCTGACAGCAGCCCAGCCAATCAAACAGCGCGCTTTCACTTCCTCATTCATTCAAGTACTCTGTATCAGGCGTATTTTAGCGCAGTTTAGACATATGAACAAAATAGGATCTGTTATGAAGCACTATTACTTTGCAGGGTGTTAAACACACGTCGGGAGAGAATATAGATTTATATATATTGTCATTAACAGATGTCTACTTGTTTGAACGGTATCGTTTGTCTTCACAGTCCATCAAATATGTACATGAAAAAATAGTCCTCACAAAGTCGCCGTGTATTCGTTTGCAGTGTAAAACAGCAGGTAAAGCGGTTTCTTTACAAGCACATAACATCTGCTCGCTAGCTAGCAAACACGGCTAACCTCAGTTACCGCTAGCTAACGTTCGGCCGCTAAGCTAACGTACCTCGGTTCAACAGCCGGGCCGGAGGAAAGTCGAGGAGGACGGTATTCTTGGTATCTATCGATACGGCCGCTACTCCGGACACAGCATGACCAAACACCAGTTTGTTCCGACTCTCAATGCCGTTTCATTACTGTGACAATGCCACACGGGGTGCTAAGCTAGCCAAAGCCCTCCCTGCTTAGATAACAGCTGTATGTTTTCTTCCTGTTTGTGGTTGCTGAACGTGTGACGTCACGCTGCGTTTCCTTCCGCTATGAAGGCGGCAGGTGTTAAACACATTAGCGCTTTATCGCCCCCTACTGGGGTAAAATAGTGCACAATGCCCCATTTCACAAATCATTTTCTTTGGTAATTACATTTTTTGTTTGAGACCAATAAATCATTAAAACTCCTAAACTGAAGGAAATGTTTCTACTCACCTCTGCCCATCTTTTGAAATATGATTGAATTTGTCAGCAGTGTGAAACATGACTTGTTCATCAAATTATAAATTGTTATCTTTTATTATTTTTATCCCAGCAGTGTGAATGGAAAATAAAAAAAACATGTCTAATGATTGCTATATGAAATTGATGTGAATTTATGTAATGAAAAATTGTAAGTGATAATATTCAAAAACGTTTCTACCACTGAAAAAATAAATTAATACGTATATAATTAAGTATCATTCAGAACACATGTGAGTGTCTTAAAACAACACACGTTGAATTACCAGGCTGTAGCTTAGTTCACCCCATTTTACTGCGAGATTTTGCTTTACAATTTACGCATGAAAACCATGTTAACTTGGATCAATAGAGGAGACATGTTGCGTCACACATGACCTTGAATCAACTCCCTTTATCACCGTTCTGCCATCTGCTGCGTTCTCACCTCCTTCTCACTGCTGCTGTGAAAGCCGCAGGTAAAAATATCCCGTTCATCAAACTCTAGTTCAAGAGTCAAGTGTGCTTTGACCAGTGGAATTAACAGAGAGTAATCCTTAATAACCTTTCTACTTAAAAAGATAATATTGCTTTTAAGGCAAAAGTCTGGAAGTGAATTTTTCTTTCGAAATCCCGAAACAAAATCTATTATTAAATATTTTCTACAGAAGACGCTACACTTTCACACATCATACCAGTACACACTCTGAATATCACACAGTGACAACGTCACACTTTTTGTTCCTTTTCTGAAGCAGTTTTATGCACTAATTTTTACAAGCAAATTGAGACAATAAAACGTTTATAATCTAAATAAAATTCATCCTGTAGAGTCTAAATCCTATGTTGTGTCTTCATTTTCTCAAACTGGATTCATCATCCTGACACGGTAGCCCAATGAATGTGGAGAGTGACTCACACACACCAAAATCTTATGTTAGTATTTTTTAATTGCATAACATGAGTAGAGTATTATCAGCATTACTAATATGGAACCTATTTTTGTAACACAGTTGGTGAACAATTTTTTAAAAAATGATCCAACAATGGTCACATTGAGTGTTTAGCTTGATCTTTAATAACATAGTACAGCAGCGAAGCAGGGTAACATAATGAAGATTTTCCTGCTGGAGTAATGATTTTCCCAGGATCCCTTCTGCATGAAACCACTCGCTGTTACAGCCTGTGGGGAGAGGGAGCCTGCTGGCGTGTGTCCAGGGCTGCAGGTGCTGCATGAGTCTCTGACTCACACAACAGAGCAGAGAGCCTTTTAGGCTCCTCCAGCATGACGTATTCTATATTATTATTATTATTATTATGTGCAGTAACTGTTACATGTTCACAATCAATTAACATTGTGAACATCTCTTTGGCTCCAGGATGCGTTGGGTGTGTGCCTTGGGCCTCTTGTCAGCTCTGCTGCATCTGTCTACCTCCCTGCTGCTGGGAGCCTTCAACATCCGGATATTTGGAGCCAAGAAAGCCTCCAATAATACTCTCATGGACATCATCGCTACGGTCAGGATTGTATTCATTTTTTCTTTCATCTAATTTTTTTTCAGACCGTCTCAATACAAGTGGCCACATTTGAAGTCTTTATTTTCAAAGGTACTGAGTAACTTATTAACAACCACATTTTGCTTGAATGTTAGCTCCCCTTTCATTGTAATATGTTGCCAGCATTCAATTATCCTTCTTTCTACGACTGTATCTCATCAAAAAACATAATTTTAAATTTATATATTTTCAACAGTGCTGAGTAACTTTAAAATACCACAAGTTCACCCAGTCCCGATGCAAGTGCAATGCCACGTCGTAAACAATAAATGAGGTATAGTGAAAACAGTGAATCCTGCCGTGACAAGTGTTCTTTTATGTGAGGACTTAGCGAGGCCGCACTTTTTTACTTTGAACAATAACGATGACAGATTGTTTAATTTGACCGGAAAAAGAGAGGTTATATGTTCACCTCTTTCAGCTCTATTTGTCTTTGTTTTAGGAGAAGTCTACTACACTAAACTGACCACTTGTATGAGACAGCTCTAAAGAACTCTAATCAGATACGTGTTTGTTTTCTGTTTCTCAGGTCGTCTGTCGCTATGATATCATTTTGATCCAGGAGGTCAGAGACAGCCATCTGACAGTGACCAACAAACTGAAGGACCTTGTCAACACGTTAGACTAACACACATCTTATATAGTGCTTATATACACACTATGGTGGCCTTCTGTGGAAGTTTAGCTGGATGACTCATAAACTCACATCATTATTTAAGACAAACACAATAATGCTTAACATCTGTGTGTCTGTGTGTGTTTTTGCAGAAAGTGTCCTACGTACAACGCCAATTACAGTGCTCCTCTGGGTACTCACGCGCCGACTAATGAAAGATATGTCTTCCTCTTCAGGTAAACAGAGAGAGGCGAAAACAACTATTTGTCCATATTGTCTCTGTCTCTCTGTCTCTGTCTGTCTCTGTGTCAGCTCTGCAATTTACTGGCAAACGATGCTTCTCGCCAATTGTTAGCTGGGATTGTCTCCAGCCCATGTGACCTCAAGTGGTGTAGAACATGAATGAATGCACGTGAAACCACAATCTGGAGATTAACTGAAGTAAACATTTATTGTAAGTATTTGTCTCTAAGATGTAGTGGGTGGACATATTTAGTAACAGGAAATGGAAACACTCAAGTACAGATAACTCAAATGTTGATGTGTTTTCCGTTAGTGAAAGATCTGGTAAAGTACTAACTGTCCTCTGCAGGGAACCACAGGTGTCCGTGGTGGACAGCTACCAATACGTGGGCACAGCCTTCACCCGCCCGCCCTACATCGTCAAGTTCTCCTCCACACACACCGGTAAGCTGAGACTGCTGCAAAGAACAGAGTGATCGAACTCCTCAGTGAGGTAGATCACCTCCCTGCTAGGCGACCAACTGAGAACCAAACACCTGACGTGTGTGAGATCCGCTGGTCAGCAAGGCCCCTCTAGAAAAGCCTTCATTTCAGTTGAACGCAGACTGCCATACGGCGCTTAGTCAGCCAAATAGGGCTGGCGACTCGGTCCTGCTATCAATCATATCTGCCACATCCAAAACGCTCAGCTTGTCCTTTGTCTTCTCACATTTCCATCTCCATTAATCCACTTCTTCCTCCTGGTTTATAGCTGTGAAGGAGTTTGTTCTGATCCCACAGCACACCAGGCCTGAAGATGCTGTGGAGCAAATTAATGCCCTCTGTGACGTGGTGGATGATGTCATCAGCAAAATGAAAACCCAAGTAAATGCTCTCTAGAAAACACACACAGAATCAACTATTTGGTGGATTTATGTAAAAAAAAACAACTGTAGTGCAGACGATAATTAATAAGTTCAAATTCATGAAATGGTTGATGGTTGAAATACTTTCCCCTTTACCTGCAGAACGTTGTGCTTCTGGGCGACTTCAACGCTGGCTGCACCTACGTGAAGGGGGATGGCTGGAAGCACATCAGACTCTTCACAGAGAAAAGATTCCACTGGTTGATCGACGACACGCAATTCACTTCAGTGGCGAGTGACTGCCCTTATGACAGGTGGACGGACACACACACACACACACACTCTCACTCACACACTCTAATCGTCTTTCTGTACCTGCAGGATTGTGGTCACCGATGTGATGATCCCCAGAGTGACGCCCAACACTGCTCTGGTCTATCGCTACGACCATAACCTCACCAAAGGTCATGGTCTTCTCACCAAACAGGAGGTTGTAAATACATCTTTGGCTTTTATTCTTCTAAGTGACAAAACTCACATCAGTCGTAATTTACAAACAGGCCTGATCCATCAGGAGCAGCTCAACGCTCTTTTGTTTCACCGTAGAAATACGAAGTAGAACGGACATAGAACAGCTATGGCCTCCTTCCATCTGAGGGCGGCCCGAAAAACACCGCCTTCGGCGTACGTGTGGTATGAACTCCGTTAGTCCTGAATGCTGTCTTTGTCCCAATACACGGGGACATCACTGCAGGGACAAGTTACAAGAGGAACAGACTCTAAACAAGAGGAGCTGTCAGGAAGGCGTCATTGTGAACACCCGCCCTGTGCAGCCATTAAAGCGCAGAAACACTGAGTTCAGCTTGCACGCCCCCCGTTGATGGTGAAAAAACAGTCCTTCAGTGATGCAAGTGACAGAGGCCACTTTGATGACTTATTGAGTTTAACAGATCCTAATAAACAAACTAGTTTTCGGCCTAACCGAGGGAATCTTGCTGAAGCCGGACATACTAGAAATGGTCCCACGGGGGAAACCTACAACTGAGTTTTCTCTCCATCTCTGACAGGTGTTGGCTGTCAGCGACCATTACCCTGTGGAGGTGGAGCTGAACTAGAGACCTCCAGGTGAATCGACCACGAACCAGTGGGGCACCCGCTGCAACCATGTAGCGTTGAATTGACTTCATCAAAATAAACTCATCATTCCTGCTATTCTACATTTGTTGCGAGTCATTTTTTCCAATGTTTGAAGTCGCTACAACTAAATTCCATTCACCTCATTATATCAGGTAGCAGCACAGTTTTAGGAGTCATGTATCAAGATCTAAAGCTGCCTGCATGTCGGCTTGTGAGCATACTGGACATTTTATTTGCATTTAAAACATTTGTTTGTGACGGAATCGATGGATCAAGGTTCATTTGTTGAATAAAGGCACTACATAAATCAAGCGGACAAACGTATCATAAAAAGTGTTTCACTGAGACGCTTTGTGATTATTTCACTGTGCAGAGAACAAATATTCTGAGAACTACTTCTGCTCTTCAATATTTCAGCAATAAAGGATTTTCTACCAAAACAGCAGCCTTAAATGGTTTACAAGTCCTCCCGGCCCCCTTTAAGTTTGCGCTGAGGCCCCTGCTGCATCCCTGGGAATATTAATGTAGGGAAAGCATTAAATGTCTTGGTGGACAGCGAGTCTGTGACCTCTCACTGAGACACAAGGTGCTCTGCAAGCAGATGTTCAGGATGATTTGTGGATCAGGATATTCTATTTAGTTGTAAACAAAGTGTTCTACAATCTCTCCTACAATCACGGATGACAATGCCATCGCTCTCTTTGATGTGGGGGGAACCACTGGGGCACAGATGTTCCGACCATATTACTCAAAGCCGGAGAAGGAAACCTTTCAGTAGCCTTGACGCGTGACTTGTGTTTCAACTCCTGCTTGCAAGTGTTTAATAAATGTCCTGTTCAATGATTTCTCAGCGGTGTCGATGGTTGACTCAAACAGTAGTTACCCATCAACCCGGGGAGTGAGAAGCAGCACTTCTGTGTATTACTATTGTGGCATCACAAGGAGCCAAAGGGCCGCTGCATCCCTGCACAGGATTGGTACAAAATGGCCGCCACTGCTGACACTACATTTCTCAACAATCCCCCAGCTGCAGGTGTTTAGGGCACCTAAATGAGGCCAGGCTGGGGAATATAAATGTAGCGGGTACAAATATGTACTACGGCTTTAAGACCCACGTGAACGCGGGGAAGAGAGAGAGGGAAAACGGGGGTACGAGCGGCGAAAAGGAGAGCGGTAGAAGTTTTTGGGCTCCACGGTATTTCCCGGTAAGGAATATTGTGTGAGTGGTCGTATCGAGAGACACGTTCCGAACCAGTAACGCGGTTACGTTTGGGTTTTCGTTTTAATTGATAGTGTGAGCGCCGAAGTCGGGCTGCATTAGATTAAAGTGACACGTTTAAACCAGTAACGCGGTTATGTCTGGGTTTACATTTCCTCGGATACTGCGAGCGCCGAAGTCGTGCGGCATTAGAGTAAAGTTAAAGTTAACTGTTGCATTTAGCTGGGGCTAGATGGCGGTGCACCGATGAAGATGGCTGGAGGAGCGTTCAAGAAGAGCAAGCCGGGACATCAATATCTCGAGGTGCAACGTGCTAGCTAAAAGCTCTCCACCTCTCCCCACTCCGTGCGTGAGCTGCGCGGGAAAGGGGGCGATTGACGGCAGGACAACACGTTTCATTGGAGGTTTACCCTGCCAGCCATCGGTCATTCCACGACGTGTGACCTCTGCGGTTGTATGGGTAATCACTGCACCATATTTCAACACTCTGATCCATGAACCAGCAGGCGGCGTGTGCAGCCGAACAGAACTGTCTGTGAACTGAACGAACTAGCCGCGCTGTGCGCCCACACACACACCCAAGCACGCGGACGCTAACAGCACCTACTGAACTGAACTGAACTGTACAACAACGGAGCTGACACCAACACGTACACACACACACGCACCCATACACACCGGAGTGATACGGTTAGCCCATGCGGACTGGCACAGCAGACGCTGAGTAACTGTTTATTTTGCCATCTAAAGTAAGTTTATTGGAATGTGAATGTGAAATGCCTTTAGAAGTAAGCTATCTTCTCTGTTAAGTTTACTGTTCTGGTTAAAGGGAGCCATTTTTAGTTGTCACAAGGGTGAACGTTGCTTCCCCAGGTTCCATGAGAACTTCCAATAGATGGGTATGGCCCACTGAGTGTCAAGTTAAGCACCCAATGTTTGATGATGAGGTGAAACCGAGGTATTGAGTAGCCATTCGTGAGGTTTCTAGGTGACTGTATTAATGAAATTATCCCATATAACTGTATCGTATTTGAATGTTTTCCTTGTGCTCTGTGTTTATCCTTGAGTAAACAATAGAGGGAATAACAGCTGTACGTGTTTGTTTAACTTAGTCTAGTATATTGGGCTGCTTATCTGGGCTAGGGGCGCCTCACCTGTTTAGCTAGACCTAGGTAGAGTGGGGGGGGTTACCTCACGCACCCCACACACACTTCAGACGACCACCTACTGAAGCCCACTTTGCCCCGTCTAAGAAGCTACCGTCCAGTCTAGCTGCTAAATAGTAAACAACCTGTTCACTCACCTGAGCATCGAGGCCACAGGCATTGAGTGAGGGGGACCCAGATCCTGTCCCACTCAGTCCTCCCCAGAGTAAATGCTCTGTAACCCCTAAAAGGCAGCGGTAATAATCCCGACCGTTACAATTGGCGTCACGAACAGGATAGAATAAGCAATAATTTTAAGCGGAAACAATGGCCGATTTAGACAGACTGAAGCAGCAGTTTGAGCAGATGAAGGCGAGATTCGATGACCAGACTGAGGCCCTGATACAAGCTAGAAGTGAGCAGAGAGAGGCTCTTGCATTAGCTACAGCAGTCATAGGTCAGCAGAAAGAAAAGCCGCCTGCCGCTACTGTATATATCCCCAGAGACCGCAAGATTTCTGATTTTAACGGTAAGCCAAGTGACGTGGATGTTGAAGAATGGATCTCGTCCATGCAATCTGCCCTCCAAGTCATGAAGGTCCCCATAGAGGACCAAGCAAGCGACCAAGTTTATTAAACAGTACCTTAAAGGGGAAGCCAAACTCACAGTCAAGTATATAGAGGACGACAAAGCTAAGGATGCGGCGGGGATATTTGAAGCACTACGTATGACTTACGGCGACAAAGCTCCGGTAGGCGTCAGGTTCAAAGAATTCTATGACCGCAATCAGATGCCTGGAGAGACCATACGTTTCTATGCCTATGACATCCAGGAAAAGCTAATGCGGATTCGGCGCAGAGATCCCAACCGTGTCCCCAATGCGGAGGCGATGCTCAAAGAACAGCTTGCGCTTGGGCTCCGTGATGATATCCTGAGAAATCAAGGGAAATCAAGAAAAAACTAAAGGAAAAGGACAATCTTACTTTTTCTGAGCTAATGCAAGATACCATCTCCTGGTCTGAGGAGGAAGCGGTTCAGACTTCTGATACCGTGCAAAGCAGTTCTCGCGCCAAAGGCACTGTTAATGCTACTAGGGCTGTTGATGAACCTTCTTTGCAGTTGACAATGGAGATGCTGCATGAAGCAATACAAAAGATAGCCAGGCGTCAGGACGAACTGTTTCAGATGCTTGGTCGTCGGGGCACCAGCACGACACCGGGGAAGGACGAGAAAGCGAGAAACCCCCCTTTGAAGAAGACAAGCAGTTTATCTGCTACACGTGTAATAAGCCTGGGCACACCAGCAGACACTGTCCTTTGAACCGGGGAGCTATGGGCATAACAATTTCCCCACTCCGAAGGGATGCGGCACCTGGGCCTGCGGGAAACAACCCCGGGGGGGCGATGCACCCGGGCTCAGGTGCCCCTGTAATCAGAAGTCACCAGGCAAAGCAGCCCTATAACACTTCTCAAGCCTCGAGTGCAAGTGCTTTTGGAGACTGCTTGGTTGTTGAAGTGAAGATAGCAGGCGTCAGGACAGACTGTCTGTTGGACACTGGCTCAGAGGTCACCACCATTCGGGAATTCTATTTCAGAGAGCACCTTGGGAAGTCTGCGTTGTCCTCGGCCAACTGGGTCCAGCTCACCGCTGCAAACGGCCTTGAAATTCCGCTTTTGGGATGCCTGGAGGCGGAGGTAGAGTGCATGGGGAAGACCGTCGGCAGGAAGTGTATCTTTGTCCTCAAAGATGAAAGCCCACACATAGACGAGATGAAGGGCCTCCCTGGTATTCTGGGAATGAATGTGCTAAGTGAACTGAAGGATCTTTTCGGTGTCACAGAAGGCATGAAGAAGATGAATAAATACCAGGGCACGGAGGCTAAAGTCCACAGGGTGCTGGCGAACATCAGACAGGAGGCGGGGTCCCTCGGGCGCAACGACCGAATAAGGCTACGTGAAAGTGGCAGGCCGAGAGACGGTCACCATTCCCCCGCTCAGCGAGCGCATCCTGGAGGGTCGTTGTGGAGTGTCCTCAAAAGCAAACTGCCCAGTGTTAGTGGGGGCTACTTCTGGGGTGAGCCTGCCAAAGAGCCTCCTGGTGGCTAATGTGCTCGCTAAAGCCACAGGTGGGCGGGTGCCTATTCGTGTTATGAATTCAAGTGAAAGGCCGGTGAGGCCGAAGCCTAGGTCCCAGATCGCCGTAGTGTATAAGCCACAGGACGTGTTGCAAAAGGAACTGGTGGAGTTTGAAGAGAACGAAGGGGTGCTGCATGTGAAGGCTGTGAAAACAACACAAATCCAGCCTGAGGGAGCTGATACCGAGCCGCTGCCTGTCCCTGTTAAAGTTAACCTTGAAATCCCACCCAGTGCCATAAGCTGAAGAGTTTGTTAGCTAGGCATCAAGATGTGTTTTCAAAAAGTGAATCAGGCGCGAGAGGCCGCCCATTAAGCAGCGCCACCGCAGAGTATCCCCTCAGGTTTTTCAGCAGTTTAAGAAGCACGTCCAAGATCTCGATTCCCAAGGAGTTCTTAAGGAGAGTTGCAGCCCATGGGCCTCCCCTGCCGTGATCGTGCTGAAGAAAGATGGTAGTGTGAGGTTTTGTTGGGATTATCGGAGGCTCAACAAAGTGACCTGCAAAGATGCTTACCCACTGCCGCGTGTTGATGAATCGCTTGATGCGTTAGGTAAGGCACAGCTGTTTTCAACCCTGGACTTA